AGATATTTCAAATTATAAAAAGTAATTTATATTTAATGACCCTTTTTTTTTTATGTAAAGTTCATAAAAAAATAAAAATAAATATATAATTTTGTAATTCAAATACTTATTAGCTACTGCAAAAATACATTACTATTGTATATAATTCCGATTAGATAAACATAATATAATGATATAATGTATAATATTATTCTGTTTTAATTTTAAACAATACAAAATAAATTTTACTGTACATTTTATTATACATTTATTACAAATACAACGTTATTTTCTCTCAGCTTCTATTAACTGAGACAAACTTAATGACTGAATGATGATAATGGCTGGGACATGTCTTTTAAACCAGCACGAATGGCAAGCCTATCTATGAGTATAATATAATTTATAAAAAATGTATCTATTAACATATTATAGTATTAATAAATATATACTGCTTATTGATTCTAGTTAATAAATATACATTAACGTATATATAAATGGTCCAATAGATTATTTAAAATGTACTTTTCCATAGAAAAGTAAGCTTTAAATAATTATTATATATGAATCATTTACCATTCATATACAGTGGTGCACACAGGATTTTTTTTCGTGGGGGGGGGTCAAGGTAAAATTATAACACATTTTACAATTAACAAAATTATGCAAATCCTTAATATATTTTAACTTAAATAATAGCATTGACAATAGAATAGACTATTCTATAATCAATAATACTAGGTATTCAATACTAGCTCTTCATATTTCAAATTTGTAAGATTTGTAAATTTTAACCTAGACATTGGAGAAAATTTCGGGGGGGTTACAACCCCTTAACCCCCCCCCCTCCACTGCGTGTGACAGTGTTCATATATGATATGTGTAGAGTGGAATTTATAGATTATTCATAAATCAAAAATATTATTAATTATTTATGAATAAATTAATGTATATAAAGTAATTTATAAGCATAAATTTTTAAACAATAGTTCCTACTAACATTTAAAATATATACATTCATATTATTTACTATTTAAATTATAATATAATATATACATACATACATACATATATATATATATATAAATTTACACATACTATTAGTATTTGGTTTCCTGTGGCAATAAAAAAAATACTCGAAATGTTAATATATACATTTTACGGGACACTTGGTACTCGCTATTTTCGCTATGCGATTGAAGATTTTTACTTTTACTCATGGCACAAATTAAGAAGAATGACTAATAATGTTCCAGTAATGTGTTTGTTCATAGCATAGTACATAATTTGAATGTGTATGAGTCATATCACAGTCGCAAATTTTTGTTTTCCACTATTCCGCGATTTTGTTCAAGTATCCGGATTCATATTTTTTTAATTTTAATTATTTCATATACATGTATTGTCGATATATAAAAACTTATACATAGAATGCTATAGTGCTACTATATTATAGTACTTATGTACTGTTATGTTTACTCTTTTATTTCTTATTTACTCGTATACAAAAATATTTACTAATTGTAACACAACATTACAAAAGTGCACTTGATGATGCCTTATTAAGAATATTAAATTAATTAATACTTTATGAAAAAGACGCTTTGCATTCCATGAATTTATATTTTAATATTCGTTTCATGTTTATTTTTATACCAGATATTAACTAGGTTACCATATTATATCCAACGTTGTCCGAGCCAGAAGTTATTTTTTGTATACATGCCTAACTAATAAATTTATAAAATAAATATAAATATATATATATTAATTTATTTATTTTTAATACACCGTATTTTAAACGAAGAGTACAGAAAAATATTTTGAACTATTAAATCAATAGAAAACTGTAAAATTCAATTATATAAACCATAGTAGTATAATATTAAATATTTCGGTAACTTTCACAGCAATATATTACAAGACATGTTTAGGAGAAGATCATAGAAGTCGGTTATTCTTTAAACATTGTTTAGATCAGAAACAAAAATAAAAATTAAGGTTTAAAAATTATTTTAAAAACATTATACATCAAAGTCAATCACGACGGTATACAGAAAAATTATACTGTAATATTTTTGACACATAATAAATCAATATATTCAGTGTTTTATAGATTATTTTAACTGTAAACAGATAATCAAACATTTTCACGAGAAGTAAAAGTAAATAATATCTATTTCAAAATTGTCGGTATCTAAGGGCAATACATTATTGTAAAAGAAAGTAAACATAAAAGTAATTATAATTAATTAAAACTAATCCAATATTTTATATTTTTATGTTGAATATTTTATACACATATATTACCTTCTTTTAAAATAATGTTATTTAAATTTTAATCGAATATTTAGGTAGCAGATAAATACTAGTATAGTTACTATTAGGTAATACGAATATATCCAATTTATCAAAAATAATATAAATATTATGTTCAATTAAAAAATTAATAAAAAAAATTAATTGAGTTACTTAAAATGTCCATATATGAGCTATTATTTGCAAATTGAATTATGATGATTATATTTTGGAAAAACTATATAATAATATTAACTTTGAAAGAATAGAAATAATTTTACTTTTTATTTATTACCTTATAAAATTATATTAGCAAACTAATTTAGTGCAAGAATAAATAATATAATATTAATAAAGGATTAATAATACATCACATACTTGAGCTCTGTAAATAATGTGTAAAACGTGTATTTTTTGCTGAGGTAATACTTATATTAAAATACACAAAACCGCAGAAATTTAAATATAATAGGTAATAAAGTTTAATATTAATATAATAATGAATTAATTATACTCGATCGTTTAAAATTTTTTATGATGAGTACGATAAACTGTGTTCGATGATGGTTATAATGTTAGCTATGTTTTCAATTATTACATTATTATAAGTTTTAATATTTTGAATTTTTTAGAATTTCATATCAGTTATACTCGTAGTATTAAATAAAATATTATTCAAGTAAAATTTTTAAATTAGTAAATAATTCTACAATGGTTTTAGCTTTTTTTCACTGTATCTATTTTTCTGTACTTACACCATATAATATCATATTTATATATTTAAATAAAATTATATTACTGAAGTAAAATAGTAATCATAACTTACTATGATAAGTTCTATAATTTTAAAAAATGAATGCATTTGTTATAATCGTTTTGTCTAATTATTATCAAAAAATATGTACACAAGAATACATAATACATTAATAAATAATTATTGTATTCAAATAAAAATGTTTATAAAATATTCTCAAATATATGATAAATCTTTAAAACATTTCTTATTTCATAGAATAGATTACTTATGTTAATTATTGAAAGAAATAAACTTTTAACATTTGTATAGAAAAAATCATGTAGTCTAGCTGATGTTCATATTGTTTTTGTAAGTATATATATATGTACCGAGGTATGTATGTACAATTATAAAATTCCGCTCTCTAATTTAATGTATATAATTTGTTTCAAGACGATTTAAATTTAGAAATTTAAGATTTTATAAAATTATTTTGGCACACAATAATTATTTCTCCTCTCTATCGTCCAAGTTAAAATTTTTCATTAATGCACCTTAGGCTCCTCTTTGATTATTATTTTACTTATTTTAATACTATTACTATTATTATTATTATTACTATTATAAAATGGAATGCGACCTTTATCACAATTTTTTAAATATATAAATGTTATTCAGTAAACAGGCAATTCGCTTCTCTTTTCTCAGGCATTATTTCCTCTAGACATAAAACATAAAAACATAAAACTACTCATTTAAGTATACTTTAATAGCTTAACGTGTTATCATTATATTCCGGTTTCTTACCGTGAACTCTAATAGTTAAATAAATTATTTGAAATAACTGAATCCAGTAGAAATGTAGAATATTATTATCCGCGTAGATACGCAGTAGATGTAGCAGTAGAATCCGCTTATTACGATATATATTGTTCCGGATAAAACGATTCCTAACCATGTTAGTTTTACATCTCACGTAGGTAATGTTTTCGTCATCCGGATACAAAGATCTGATTCTTCAGGTCCCTTGAAGATCGTTATTAGCGGATTGTTTGTAATATGATCAATTTACGTTGTTTTGGATGCATATATACATAACCGACACAAAAAAGGCCGAATGGTGTTATGGAGCAATAGCTTGGTCCACCGCGTTATTGATTCTCACACGAATTAATCATAATCCAAGATAATATTGGCATGTTGTGTAATATATCAACCCAGAGATCCAAGACCTGACCTTGAGTTTGGTGATGGTAGACAGGTGTGTTCCCACGTCCCGTAGTGCTGTCGAACGGAACCGTTAATTCTGCGCGGCCGACCCCGATCAACAGCAGTCTGAGCACGCCGGCCACTACGGAACCGCGTGGTTATCGCGACTCGCAGCACTGTGTGCGCGCCAGTCGTCCGTGGGCATCGTAGAAAGTTTAACAAGCGCTTTCGAATTCACTTCGAAAAATCGGACTTTTATGCCCGTCAGCGTAATGGAAACGCAAATAAAACGCGTTCGATGAACAATTTCGCCCCCCCCCCGAAATCCTCCCTCGTAGGCGAAGTTCGCTGCCGCGACCGCGAAACGGGCGAACGCGTTCGTCGCAACGGTGGCGGGCAGCAGGTGAACGAAACAACACGGCAAAACGTGTGCCGTACACAAAGCGTATATTATGGAACCATGCGCTGCTGCGTATCGCCGCGTTGTACGCACCCACGGGGAGATATGATAACATAACGCGCGGTCAAGTGCACGTCGTCGGCACCGCGGCGCGTAAAAATAAACGAAACGAATATTACGTTTTGGAACGCGTCGCGGCGGTGGTTGCTGAGTTACGCGGCCGGTGCTCGCATGCGGTGCGCTGGTGCACCGGCCGGTGGCGGAGAGACCTGTTGGGGGACATTGTTCGGAAACGGCTCCAAGGTCGTTGCGACTACAATCCCGGCGCGAGATTTGGCAATGCCGCACGTATAATACGTGCCGCCGCGACCGGCTATCACGGGCGAGAACGCGCGACATCATAAAATACGTTTCTGGCACGTTGATGCTGTTCCGGTGTCCGGCGCGGAGCGATAAACACGTTTAGTCATCGCTACAAGATAATTGTTGCACAGCAATACACCGTGGTGAGGAAATCAATAGCGGACGGCGTGTGCGTTCCGAATCGAACACGCGGAACACGACGGACGACGACCGGCCCGGTAGAGCGGCACCAGCAGCAGTGCCGTCCGCGAGTTATCACTGTCCACCGAGTATCGTCGGTATCAGCTTCAGCGATCCTACGAGCCGTGCAAGTGTTCTACGGGCGCGCGCGTGCGTCAGTGAACGTGTGTGTTAGCGACCAGTGACTGGCACACGAGTGCGCTCGTGTGAGTGTTCGTCCGTGCATGCGTGTACGTTTGTGTAATTGTGTGCGTTAGCCGAGCGCGACGTATACGCCGATAGACTCGCGCGAGGCCGTCCGCGCTTATCTCGTCAAAGGTTGTGATCCGTCGGGCCAATAAAATTCGTGCGACGATAAAATAAATAATAATAACAAGTATTTATATTAGTACTTACATCGGAGCAACGCGGTCCGTGTCCCGGGCGAACAGCAGCGGCCCAGTGACGAGCGAGTCGTCGTCGTCATTCTTCTTGTTGTTTTTGTTGTTTTCGTAATTGTAGTTATAGCTACTACTGTCCGTTCTCTTTAGCGCGGCGTTGTGTCCTCGGCGATTTATGCGCTGAACGCGGGACGTTGACGTGCGCACATTACCAGTAACCACGATGGAAGCCATTGCCAAGCACGATTTCACGGCCACGGCGTCCGACGAGTTGAGCTTCCAAAAGGGCAGTCTGCTTAGGGTGAGTACTTTTTGAGGACCCGTCGGGTTCTGTAGCCACTGCTGGGGGTAGTGGTCTGCGTCTGTCTGTCACTGTGTGTCCGACCAAAATCTAACTTTATTTCCTCTTTCTTACCAGATAATCAACATGGAGGACGATGTCAACTGGTTCCGTGCCGAGTTCGAAGGCAAAGAAGGACTGATACCTAGCAATTATATAGAAATGAAAAACCATGAGTGAGTATCGATACACCACTACACACTGCTATTATTCTAGTTTTCACTTGCCGATCAAATGTGCCTTACTAATAATGTTTTTTGTCTGTAGTTGGTATTATGGTAAAATCACCAGAGCGGATGCAGAAAAGTTATTAGACGAACAGCCTGAAGGTTGTTTTCTTGTACGAATTAGTGAGAGTTCACCAGGTGATTTTTCACTTTCTGTCAAGTGAGTAAAAATATTACAATCATTGTTAACTAATATTTTTTACATACTGTACATAATGTGTCCTTGAGTCCTTAATTAATTATTTATGCTTTCGATGATTTATTTTGTTTACAAATATTTTGTTATACTCAAAAACAGATGTGGTGACGGTGTGCAACATTTTAAAGTTCTACGAGACGCACAGGCAAAATTCTTTTTGTGGGTTGTGAAATTTGATAGTTTAAACGAACTAGTTGAATATCATCGGGAATCATCTGTATCCCGCTCACAAGATGTAAGACTTAGAGACATGCCAGCAGCAACTCAAAATGGATTTAACCAAATACCGGTATTTATTATCAATATATCAATATTAAGCTAATGTTATTAATAATTAAATAATCATTGTTTCTCCCAGACACTGGTAATTGGAATGTATGACTTTACACCCCAAGAAGAAGGAGAATTAGCATTTAGACGTGGAGATGTTATAACTGTGACCAATCGCACAGATGCAAATTGGTGGCGAGGTGAGATTGGTACTCGGGAAGGACTATTTCCAGCTGCCTATGTTTCTCCTTATCATGCCCCTTAATCTACTAGTGTCCTTATTTATATGAAATGTGTTTTACTACTGTAGAGAACATGTGACCATGAAATGCATAGACTTAGCAGTTCTAGATTTTTCTCCTTGAATCTAATGATTTATTGCAATAAAATTAAAGTAAAAAATTATTTAAACACTTAAAATCTTATAGGTTTTTCAAGTTTGTTATTAATTAATTAATTGGTGTATTAACTTAATTGTTTTGTGCTTGTCCGTTAATTTTTTTCGTTATTTATACGAAGTTAATACTCTATGAATCAAAATGATATAATGTTACCTACTATTCTGTCTTCATAATTGTTTGAATTTTGTCATCAATTATAGTATTTGACATTAGTAATATAAAAAAACACTGATACCTAATGACCGCTAAGTATAAGACCACTATTTTTTCATGTTAGATAAATGTTAATGAATTTTTTTGTATCTATAGTTTTGAATTATATATCTGAATTTTTTTTTTTTTGCTCACATGCTTAGTATGATATGTATGTATTATCATATGGCTTTGATAACCCGATATTATTTATAATGTACTATAATAGTTTTGTATATTATTGTGGCTAATGATTTAAACATACAAATTATGCCAATAAACAATAAGTAAAAATACTAATGTTCCATAATTATTCATTAAGATTAAGTTATATTAAAGTAATATTTTTCCAAACTCCAATCATTAAAATTCATAAACTTTATCAAAATTCAATCCAGTGACATCTGTCTAAGACTCATAATGATTAGTGTTATGGCATTTTTTTTTACAATTAATGTTTTATTTATCAAAAAAATGTATTGTGTTAAAATGTAATTTTTGATAGATTTTACTTTTATCATTTCTGTATACTATTATAATTAGAAATATTAAATTTAATACAAGTTTGATAATTTAATCTTTTTTTTTTTATACTGTTTATGCTATCAGTTCTTTATGAAGTTTAATTTATAAATATATTCTATAAATTATATTTTTTAATGATTGCATTTAAACGAGAAAATGTTTTTTTTATTAAATTTATTTCCATGTTAATGTTTTATTTTTTTATTTTTAAATTGAATATACATGAGTATAACGACAATTATGGACATAAACCTTACTTTTTTTCTTTGGACAAGTTAAAAAATTGCTCAATTCCTTTATCTATATCATACAATTTTTTGAAGTATTTAATACTCAAAAATTAATTATATTTAGTTTATTTGTAAACAATCAATTATAAAATCATTGTGCTTATCAATTTTTTTGGTCATATCGAATATTTTAGTTTTGATTTAAAATAAAACAATACAATGTCAATTTGTGATATATAAATAATATAAAAACATCTTATTTAACCTATCTTATGTAGTCTGATAATAATTTGTTTTTCACCTGTTTATCTATATTTAAAGTATAAATTCTTCCTAATTTTATTGATAAAAGTTATATACCCTATTGTTAAGTACCTGGCCTTACGAACATTTTCTTCATATTCTATAGTTTAATTTTTTTTATTAGGTAACTATAAAAAATTTATTTTTAGTATTGAAATAAGTATACATATATTGTGAATATAAAATGTTTTAGTCATAGGATTTAAAGACTCGTATACTTAAAGATAGTAAAATATTGTCTGTTAAGTCTTTATCAATCTATTATACTATACGTTATTATAATATAAGTAATTCATTAAGTAAACATTTTATAATATTATACTTATAATAAATTTAAAATATTTTTGTGCCACATTCAATATTATATTATTTTATATTGTAAATAATTAAGCTATAATAATTCATAAAAATGTTTACTTATTTAAACTTGATTTTTCATTTATACCTTTAAATTCTATTATCAGTTGATAGTAATTTAATTACTTATATAAGTAATAATGATCAATGTATGTACAGATTATAATACTGTCTGGTACAAGAATAGTATTGAAAACCAAAATCTAATTCTCTCTCAATTCTATGTATTGCCTTAAATATTTGTCAAAATCCAAAATTCTATATTTTTATGCAATTCAACTAAAAAGGTTCATTATTATTTAATTTAAAAGATTTATTTAAAAATTATTATATTTCTGTAATTTGTTTATAAAAACATAATACACATATTATTACACAACAAGGTTATATTTTATATATTATTCATAAATATTATTTAATAGAAAATCTTTTTTCAAATTTTGACTTAATTAATTTGCTGTAGTTTCAATTTTATTAAGTTAGTAGTTAAAAATGTGTCCAATAAACTGTGCATATACTTCTGAGAAGACTATATTAGACTATAAAATTGATATTATACATATTGAAATTTATCACATATATTTAATTGGTTTTTAAAAATCATAGAAAACTTATCAACCATATTGTGAAACAATTGCCGTAAAAGGCCTGTTATACAGTCACAGTTTTAAATCCGTCGTTGGTGATATTATATGATAATATCTAATATGTAATTAAATTGTATTAAAAATAATTCTATATGTATGTTTATGTATTGACTATTGATAATAATAAATTATAAATAAAATGACTAATTCCTTTAAACAAATTTATTATTCATAGTATGTATTTTAAATATAATTTATTTTAATTTAATATTCTTTTAAAGTTGTGTTTTGGATGTTAGTAATATTATTCATGTATACACTTAAAAAATGAAAACCAGAATTAATGGTTTTTTTATTTTATTTTTTTTATATGGTTATAAAAGACAAAATGCTATGGATGTACAAGGTGCTACTTCTGAATATTTTTAAAATTTAAGTCACCAGATAGTTGATGGAATGTATTAAATTATAATAATAGATTTTAGTATACTTATACTGTTTTAGCAGTTTTTATTGAAAACATTTTAATTCTTCAAAGATTTTGTTTAGGGAATTAGTTTGGTCAAACTTGCTTACTAGATGTTTCTAAATAAGTAGTGTAATTGGTGACAAAAGATTTAATCTCGCCAACTTTGTTAAAGTACTATTTTATGTTATGGCATGTATGAGATTTTCTTTAAAAAATATCTTTTTATTAATTATTCTAACAAAAAAATTTAATTATTTTTAGTTATTACAATATATAATCGAGAGTAAAATATAACTTCATTAAACAACACTCATACTCTGTTCTATTCTCCTGTTTATCGTCCAACACTTTAGTGTAGTAATATTATATATATTATAGTTGACCTCACTACACTTTTGTAAAATTTAACTTTCAACCTCATTGGAAATTCCAATTTGGAATTGTCTTATAGCATAAACGCCCGACTCTTCTCTCCATTTCATCCAATCGCACTTAATCTTATGTTTCACATCCATGTCAAAACTACGTTTTAACGAAAAAAAAAATCTGTCCAAAATGTCATTAAAAATATTTGACTGTTCGAACCTAAATATTAAATCTGGAGAGCGGAAATCAAAATTGCACAACTCTTACATCATTTATCATGGAGTAAAGAACGTCGTTTATTTATTTGTCCATGCATTGGGACACTCCAGGGGAAAATGATTGAATTACGATCCTAGGTATTATCTAGATAACTGCACTGTGATTATTTCATAACAAAACATTCAATTAATATAGTCTTTACTTTTAATGTATTTTACCACTTATATAGTGCGAAGCGTAAAAAATTAGTGAAATTACGTGAAACTAGATGAATTACGTAGAAATTACCAAATTCGAGCGTAATGTATACGTATAAATTATTACAGTCTGTGATAATAATAAAAAAAATTGCAAAGAGAAAATAGTCTTAATCATAATGTGTTCATATTTTATTTAGTTAACATTTTTATTTTTAATTTCTTAAACATAAATTAATTGTTATTAATATTATAATTAATGAACAAGTATGTCTGGATCTTCAGGTAGCAGGCGATCTGGAGGAACAGCCAAAATTCGATTAACTGGTCAGTGATTCATACTATATTATTTTTTAACTCTCTTCTATTTTTGCCATTTGCATTTTAATAATTTTGTTTACTCACCATTTTTTGTGCTTAAGTATTGTATCATTTTGAATATTATTAATTTTCATAATTTTTTTTGTACTATGGTAAAGTACATTATGTCAATATAGTAATTTAATAGTACTTATTATTAGTATTTACTGTTTTATAGTCCTGGTTCTTTTCCTTTGCCTATATCCCAACTATTTGGGGTCTTTTTTTATTTTGTTTTTTATTGTCTTGATTAATTATTTATTAATTTTAGAGTAAAATTTAAATATTGAATTTCATTTTATTATTTACAATATATATTTACTGTGTTTGGTATGTACTCATACTATTATGATACATTTAATATGAACTCCTATTAATTTAATTTTAGAATATTTTGTATTACTTCTCTAATGATTATAATTTGGTTTCAGTGCTCTGTGCTCAGAATTTGTTGAAAAAAGACTTATTTCGTGAGTTTAATTTTGTTATACTTTTATTTATTTCATATAGTTAAATTTATTTTATAATAATATTTAATTTGGAATCTAATATTATCATTTATAGGTTTACCACCAGATGCATTTGCTAAGATAAGTGTTGACGGATCTGGACAGTGTTATACAACTGATACATGTAAAACAACCTGTGATCCTCAATGGAATCAACATTATGATTTGTATGATAAATAAATTGTTTTAATGTTTGTATATATTGTAATGTTTATTAAATATTGTATTAAAGATATTTGAGTAAAGGTGACCATGTAACAATTACTTTATGGAATCATAAAAAAATACATAAAAATATTCAAAAACCTGCTAGTGGATTTCTTGGATGTGTAAGATTATCGTGGAATCAAATTCAAAGATACAAAGATACTGGTTGTAAGTATTTCAAAGAAATTTAATTTGGTTTGAATTAGATTTATTTGTTTAAAATTGTTTGCTTGTAGATCAGAAGTTAGATTTAATTAAATTAAATCCAGATGATCCAGTACCAATTAGGGGTCAGTTAGTTATTTCTTTATTGTCTCAAGATGGTACTGCAGGAACTGTATTATCCCAACAACTGGCATCACTACCTGATGGATGGGAAGAAAGAAAAACAGAAAATGGGCGATTATATTATGTTAATCATAAGACAAAGACTACTCAATGGGTTAAACCAACCAAGTATGTGAAATGTCTAATAGTAATTTACTATACATTATATATTTCGAATACTTAAGAAAAAGTTACACATGCTATTTTATTTAATATAAATTAATTTCAGTGGTGTTTTTGGGCATAAAGCATTATATAAATCATTGAACTTCAATATTTTCAATTAAACTGTTTTTACATTGAAATTTCATTTTACAATTTTATTATAACTGATATCTCATAATAGATAATTTTTATTATCAAAATTATGTTTGAACAATTTATTTATTATGATTAGTTACTATTAATTTACATAATGTTTACTTGATATTAAAAGTATTTAAAGTGCCTTTGTATCTTGAAATATAGGTCTCATTCAAAAGTTACTTCTTGCAGTAATAGTCCTCGCCCTCCTGCACCAACCCCTACAGAGGATGCAGAAAACGAATCTGATGTCATAAATAACAATGATGGTAGTAGCAGCACATTGTCTAGTCAAACGTAAGTTACAATTTCATTTTTTTTTTTTTTTAAGTACAATATAGTAATATCGCATATTTAGGAATCCTAGTAATCGAGCATCACTCAGTTCTACCAGAAATACACCATCTCACAGTTCCTCAATTCAACAACCACAAAACTTGCCAACTGGTTATGGTAAGAATTAAATGTTACTTTTATAATAACAAACATGTAGTTGTAAATAATATTTTTATAACAGAAATAAGAACAACACCACAAGGACAAATTTATTTTTATCATACACCTACTGGATTAAGTACATGGCATGATCCAAGAATTCCAAGAAATATTAGTGTGACTCCAGGGCAGCAACTTGGTCCATTGCCGGCTGGTTGGGAAGTACGTCAAACATCTAGTGGTCGCTTTTATTATGTAGATCATAATAATCGAACAACAACTTTTTCGGATCCAAGACTTTCTACTTCAGTTATAGCTAATTTATTACAGTAAGTTAAAAGAATGATTAAAAAATAAAAATACAATTTTTTTGTGCTTAATACTCTTATAATAATAATCAAATATTAATATACATTTGAATAATTTCAATTGTTATGTACAATATATTTATTTATATACTTATAATAATTTATATAAAAAAAAAATAAAAGTTTTGGAGTATTATTGTATAATAACAAATTACTTAACACTATCACTTTTAATTAATTTATTTTAAATTTTTAGAAAACTAAATGATCAAAGTTCATCAACAAATGAACATAACCCAATGAACAATAAAGAAAATACTAGAATATCAAATACTAGTGAAACTTCATCAAGTCAACAAAGAGTTCAACCCCGTTCTGGTTTTGATGGTCCCCAAAGTATTGAGACTGATTCTGAATGTTTGCCCAAATATAAGCGTGATTTGGTAGCAAAACAAAAGATTTTACGTACTGAATTAGCTGCATTACAACCCCAAACAGGACATATGAGATTAGAAGTTTCAAGAGCTGAAATATTTGAAGTAAGATTATTTTGCTAATAAATATTTGATATTTGATAACATTTATATTTAGGAGTCGTATAGAGCTGTGATGAAAATGAGACCTAAAGATCTTCGAAAGCGGTTAATGGTAAAGTTCCGTGGTGAAGAAGGTTTAGATTATGGTGGAATAGCAAGAGAATGGTTGTATTTATTGTCTCATGAGATGCTTAATCCTCAATATGGATTGTTTCAATATTCTAGGGAAGACAATTATACATTGCAAATAAATCCAGATAGTTCTATTAATCCTGTACGTGTTCAAACTGTTTTAGAATGATTTATTTGTAGTTAAAAACATTTTTAAATTGTTACAGGAACATCTTTCTTACTTCCACTTTGTTGGTCGTATTATTGGAATTGCTATTTTTCATGGACATTATATTGATGGGGGATTCACAACACCTTTTTATAAAATGTTATTAAACAAACCTATTACTCTGGAAGATATAGAAGGAGTAGATCCTGAGTTACATCGTAGTCTCACATATATATTGTAATATTTAATTAGCTTTATTATAATTACTTTTTTTTAACTATCTAATTAACATAATATTTTATTTTTTCTTCTGTAGAGAGAATAAACTTGAAAAAGATATTATTGATACAAATTTTGCAGTTGAACAAAGTAGTTTTGGTCTATTAAAATTACACGAGCTCAAAACTGGTGGAAGAAATATTCAGGTGACAGAAGAGAATAAAAAAGAATATGTCAAGTATGTTTATATTCTTTATAATCTAATTGAATGTAAAATTTCAAGTATTATATTTTTGGTACTTTTAAGTATAGGTCCAAAATATTATTTAAAATTAATGTATATTGTGTAATACATTTGTCTTTAAGTAATACTATGTATAGTAAAAAAACCCATGTTTATTACACAGTCATTTACTAACTCTTTTTTATTAATTTACTTGATGAGTATTTTTTCTTTTTTTATGATATTTAATAACTATTTCTGTCTTGACTATTATTATTTTTTATACAAATCTCTGAAATGTAGTGTATAAAAGAAACTAACAAAAATAACCCAAAAATAAGGAATTTGATTTAAGAATGCTAAAAGATAATAACATAAATAGTCTACACATGCTACATCAATGAAAAATTAATATTAAACCCACACATTTTCAAGTGATACCAATGAAGATAAATAGAATAAAATAAAAAATGTAATACATGAAGCAGCCAGTAACTCTTTCAAAAGAAACTTACCAGAGCCTAAGAAGCCATAGATAAACTATAACATTATAAGATATTGAAGAGAGAAGAAAGTATTAAAACGCCAAGGATAATGAGAATCCATGGAATACGGAGTTATTAAGAGCTAAAGAATAAAATTAATAGTGAAGCGAAATTTGCAAGAAAGAAATGTTTAAAAGAAAAGTGCCATGAAGTGGAACAATTGCTTAGAAATAATAAGATGGATCATGCATTTAACATAACTAAGAAATTTTTTTGAGGAAAAAACAAAATTAAATAGCAAAATAAGAGATATAGATAGAAACAATATCTTGAAGCTTTATACCAAGAAAGAAAAACAGCCAATCTCAATAATTATTATATTCTCTAATTTGAAAGTTCAAAATATATGACATATAGATCGATATATTTAGGTCTTGTGTATTGAAAATTATTTATGATTACTTTTTATTGCTAATATATTATGTTTTATAATTATACTGTACAAATACATACTATATATTTCGTACTTCAATTTATTTAAAATACTTTTTAGTATGTAACTATGATTTATATTTTATTTAGATAGCTATGAGTGTATTTTAATAGATTAGATAGTCTTATTAAGGTTTCCTTTCTCAGATTATATTTGTTTTAATTTTTGACCATTGTAATGATAATGGATAATTTTTTTTTCTTTTTATCTAAATTAATATTTTTTTACCTCTTTTAGATTATACGTAACATACAGATTTATGCGAGGTATTGAACAACAATTTTTGGCATTACAAAAAGGTTTAACTGAAGTAGTACCTGGAACATTACTAAAACCTTTTGATGAACGCGAGATTGAATTAATTATAAGTGGTATTGGCACCATAGATATTGAAGATTGGAAGAGGAATACTCGACTTAAAGTGATTATTAATAAGTTTTACTTTCTAGAACTTTTATTAATTATATACTTACTAAAATTATTTTATATTCAAGCATTGTTCATCTGATATGCCTGTTGTCAAATGGTTTTGGGAAATAATTGAACAACATTACAGCCAAGAAATGCGTCTTAGACTGTTACAATTTGTCACTGGGAGTTCTAGAGTACCCCTTCAAGGGTTCAAGGCACTTCAAGGTAACTTGCTTATCATTTTATACAGTTAAACTTATATATTTATTATTATTTAATTGTCAATTTTTATATTATTTTTAGGGTCAACTGGTGCGGCTGGACCTCGTTTATTCACAATACACTTAACTGATGTACCAACAAATAATCTTCCTAAAGCACATACATGCTTTAATCGTCTTGATTTGCCAAAGTATGAGAGTAAACAGAAGTTACTTGATAAACTCAGTCAAGCAGTTGAAGAAACTTGTGGTTTTACTGTTGAATAAATGATGGCAAGTGTTTTATTGAGTTATATTTACCCGCATACTTTATTATTTGTTTATAAAATGTTAATTGTAAAATCGGTTTTTATAATTGTAGCTTATTACATGTTTATTGATTTTTTTTATTTTATGCTAAATATTTGGATTAATTAAACGATTGTTATACAAATGTGATAGTTTTAAGTTAAAATATGCGCCACATAAATGTGTTATTAAGCATTTCTTATGTCTGTTTAAAAGTGGCCAAATGTTTTCACTTAAAATATATGTTAAGTGGCTTACATAGAAACACTATGCATGTTCTAAATTGTCAACTTTTATTGAAAAGCAGCCACAACTTGAGCTGTGTTCATTGATCCATTATTGTGACATGTATTATAGTTTTAATAATAATGTGCAATATGACAGGGTAAATACTGTTAGAACTTAGAAGCAAAATAAATTAATTAAATTAAAAAAATATAAAACAAAATTTTGCTGAAAATTATTAATTAGACATAAATTTAATCATATTTATAAATTAATTATAAGTCGAGGATCAATTTTAGATTTAGATTATAATCTTTATCTTATTATTTACTTTCATAAATATTTATACTATATATTATAATTACTTCATTTTGCTACTTAGTTCTCTTTAAAATAATTTTAATATTTTATAACTTTATTATTTGGTATTATTTTTCATTAAAAAAAAATCATTGTCGTCTTCCATGGATTAATTATATTATGGACTGCTAATATATGACAATCCAAAAAAAATCTGATTATAAGTGTTTTTTTTAATGATTATTATGTAAAATAAATAGATTAAAATTATTTTATTTGTGTAATTGAATCAAGTATAACTACATTTTAACTATTTATAAGCAACCAATTTCGTTATCAACACCAAAATTTAACATAAATAGATTTGTGTGTTATTAATTTATATTGTTATAATAATAGTCCGTGTTTAATTACTATAATAACTACATAAGATTTAAGTTATTAGTAATTGATAGAGAATCTTACAATATATTTAACATTAAAATGCAGACTGTCAACATAGTTACAATTTTTGCAGATTGTTACCAAAATTGAAACTAAACAATATCATAATTTTATAATAACTGAATTTTGTTGATGATCTCTAGAAATTATTATTATTGTTAATTTTTTTTTTTGTTTTAAGTCTAATAAAATAAGATGATTTAATCTCATTATGTATACTACACATTTTGTCGCATTGGTTTATTTATCAGATGTATACTAAAACCAAAAAAAATTAATGTTAACTTGTAAACATTAATTTAAAATTCATAAACTGTATAATTATTCCTTCATTTTAAATAGTAAAAATTCTACTGATATTTATATTATTTATTAATAGTTCAATAGATTTACATATAAGTAACCTAATAGTATTTTTTTTTATGAAATATAATCAATAATTATACATTTTTATTACAAAATATTTGTTAAAATCTATATTGCGCACAATTTTTTTTCATTTATATGCATGTTACATTAAGTATTAAAATTTATTTAATAGAAATGAATATAGAATTTTTCTGTTTATTTATTATTATTTTTTTTTTTGTTTTGGTTTGGTTATTTAAGATTTAAACATAGGAGCATAAAAAAATTTATTTAAAATTTGTATTAAAAACAAATGTTTTAATACATTTATAATAAATTAATAAAAATATGGATGGTAAATGAATTAAAAATTATAAGTACTTAGTTAATATCTATTGAGTATATTATAAATATTTTCCAATCTGTAATTATGTATAAATATTATGCTATGGCCTGATTATTGAAAGTACAAAAATAATTTTTAATTGAATATACCACAGCAAATAGTATAACATACATACATACATCTTTATACTAAAATAAATCGGATTTGGGTTGTTTTTTCCAAAACTTTCTTACATCATCATGTCCATCTGTACTAACAACAATGTTTCTTCTTTTCTCATCGGACCATACCAATGCTCCAATTTCAGCAGCATAATTTTTTATTGTTTCATAGTCATTAGGTGTATTTATATTGCTATATAACACACCATCTGTAAATCTAAGTCGATTTCTTTCATTCTCCCACAGATAAATTTGATCAATTACAGTTTGTGGCATGCCACCTTCTTGCATTTGTGGATGAGTATGTACGGTAAGAAATTTCACTATTTGTGCAGCAGTAATACCGCTACGTAGTGCTGTTCGAACTGAGTCTCTAGTCAGTATACCAGCAGCCATGTTTGGAAATCTAGAATGAAAACATACACATGGATTTTAATTGACATTTTTTTTTTAAACTTAATTACAATTATTACCTGTAGAGCATATGAGTGAATAATGCGACTAGAGCAACTTTAAGATCAGAATCAGTCAAGGCATAAATTCTAAAATTGGTTTCTACAATTATATAACGTTCTTTATTTTTCATACGTTCTGAAGTTCGACTATTTCCTTGACCCATTTCAATTACTAGTCGAGTAGGGTAAAAACGTCCAGCCTTACGTTTTCTTTGATATACTAATCCAAATTCTCGAAGATGTTGCAAGAATGCTTGTAAGTTTTCAGACATTTCATCAGTTATATAATCCCATCCTAAAGTACCAAGATGTATTTGAAAGAGAAATGTTAAACATGAAGCAAGATCAAGACCCCTGGATTCTACAGTTTCCATATAGCGGAGCATAAAGTACCATACTTGAGTAGCCATGTCTAGCAATAGAAATTGAAAGCCAGTCGATGTAATTACTGGACTATCATCTGTATCTCTGACCTATAATGTAATGACATACAATGTATAATAAAATTATAAAAACAATAATGAATTACATTTTTTGTTCGTTTAACAAACTATGCTTACCATTAGACCAGCATTTAGTAAAACTCTGACTGCATCCGATGATATACCTTCATGTTTAGAGCCGACCATATAATGTAATATACACTCCCATCTTTCATATGCATATGCATCTAAAAAGTCTATATCCCTTGCTTTTGGGTCTGCTATTGCATCACTGTTTGACACCGTAGAACGACCACCACCCATAAGCGCTACTTTTAGTTTCTTCTTAAACGTAGAATTTAAAATCCATCCCTTAAGGCCACCAGTGACACTAGCTAATTTCCATATGTGTAAATTAGTGGCTACCTCAATGGACTCATCTAGTTCACTTGAATAATTTACTGGCACCCAGGAAGAAAGAACCGATTGTGGTACTGGCTGTTCAATGAATAAAATACGCAACGTGAACTGTTGCGCGATATCAGGCAGTACTCTAAACACCGTTAAGCAGGTAGGTGGATGAGTGTAAAGACGATCCTGAACAGCTTCTGGTAGTTTGGTGAGGTATTCATACAAGGTAAATACTTTGAGTATTTTAGAACCTTCATCTTTACGCGAATTCTTACGTTTTTCCTTGCTAGTGCTGGGTTCTTTGGACATAATTGTTTGAAGTTTATGGTTTTCGAAATTGCCTAGAATAATATTACATGGTTATTTTAATTCAACCCAACGTAACTCACCTAACAAACATTAATTACAATGTATTGGCTGGGAATGTTGGGATACATATTTAAAAATTTAAAATAATTTTAAATCCATCAACATAACCTACAAATGATGCCGTATATTATTATAATATACAGATAACTTATCATTTAATAAGTATTTATTCAAAATTTGGTTGAAATTTTGATAACTTTTTAAACAATGTTTATCCCGGTAACTCGACAAATACGGATTCAGAATTAATAAGAAATCAACTGAAATTTAAAATCGACTTCAATTTTTAATTACTAATAGTAAGTATTTACTATTGTAATTTTTAACACATCGTCAAACAAACCAAAACTGAGTAATACAACTAAAATAAACACCTTATCATTCCATTCCATAGAATTCGTGTAGAAGACAAATTTACTTTAACAGTTATAATTTTTATTAAAATGTATACCATGACATTAATTAATGGTTTGTATATCTCAGAATTACATTGGTTATGACCCTAGGCAATATATTTTAATTGTTTTAATGTGAAAGATGTATTTCTATTAAAGATTTATGATTGCATAGGCTAATGTTTGGAAAAATAACTATAAATTATCAAAGTAGTAATTTGTTCTTACTAACTACATAATTGAATATCCAACCATTGAAGTATAGTGAAGTAATGTGTTCTATACACGTTTTAATATTTTATTGGGACATTTAATTCTTTTAAGTATATAGCATTGTTTTTATTTAATTATTAGAAAGAACTAAAATTATTTAAACTGTTGTATGTTCATTTTTTAGGTAGGTCATTGAATTTTTTTTTAAATACATCTGAAAGTTGAAGTTATTAAAATGGATAACCGTTCAAAGAAGTTACCTAAATTTGGAACATCTAAAGTTATGTTTACTCCAAATTTAGGATATAAAAGGTAAATTAATTATTACTTATTTAAATAAATATTTTTAATTTTAAATTTTATACAGAATTGTAGCAAAAGATTCAGACCCACAAGTTAAGGTCGAAGTTAAATTAGAACATGATTCTAATTCAAGTGCTGAATCGTCATCACAAAAACAAAAAAAAATTAAAGAAAGATCTACAACACAGGTATATATTATTTTAATTCATATATAATGTCATTCATTATATCATAATGTAAAGTTGTATTTATGATTACATATTTAATAAACTTAAATTATACTAATTTTACAGTTCAAGTAAATGTCTGTTTTTATTTCATACCAAAATGTATGTATAACATTAGATTTAACTATTTAGGATAAAAAAAAATACTTCATAAGTATAATTGTAATATGTATTGTATGAGTCATTACATTGATCATAAATGTTATTTTTCATGTTTATTTTATTACTTTATATAGATACAGAGTGTTTTTTCCAATATGAGTTCAACTGGTCAAGGGAAATCAGGTTCTTCACGAATGGGATTATCATCTGGTTTTCGATCTTATTCAAATCAGGGTAGTTTCAATAGTTCTGGGTCTTTTGTAAGTGATGTATGGCTTAGAATTGTAATTTTGAAGTGATTGCTATAATTTAATTAGGTTAAAAATGCATGTCAAAGTATACAACAAATGCAAAATATGATGGATGAAAATCAATTTGATGTTGATGATCCAATGGATGATTTGAATAGACCTGTTAGGTTACCTTTCATTAAAAAAGGTACACTATTATACCAATTTATTTACTTTGAAGATAGTTATTTATTATTATTTTAGATAGGATGACACAAATTAAGACTGAAAATAGTTTAGAATATCCATTTCAAAAGAATATCTATCCCTCTTTAAGTGAACTGATGGCACCAGAATCATTAACAATTTTACAGGTACTTATTAATTTACTTAATGTCAAATAATTGTTTTATAATTATGTGAATTTATGATGGTTTGGTTTTTAGTTTTATGACAGTTCATTTAGTATTCAACAAAAAATCACTGATATAAGTTTAACTGAAAATGATAATAATGATACACCAGATGAGACAGAAACTGAAACAAAAGTACCATTAATAAAAACAGAATATAATAGTCATATTAAAGTTGAAGTAATATTTTATTATGATAAAAAATTAATAATTTCTAAGTATTTGATAATATTATTTTCAGAATGATTCAGAACGTATCCATAGTTCTCAGCCAATAGGCAAAATACAATATTATAGATCAGGCCGTGTGGTTTTAATTTTTAATGGAAAAGAATATGAATTATTAAAAGCCAATGAAGATAAACATCATAAGGTTAATTGATTTAAAAGTAAATATAAATATTATATTTATATTGTATGTATATTTTTTAGGAATTATTTAGCCTTACAAAAGTTGAAGCCGAGAGACCTGACAAATTAGTGAGTTTAGGAACTATTCCAGTACGATTTAAAGCTGTTTTAGATATCAAAAGTATAATCAATAATTTCTTAAAAAATACAAATTAATGTACATATATTTTTTGAAAATTGTTTTATAATAAATACATTTTTTAATATTATTAATTTTTTTTTTTTACTTTATAGTTTAACAATACAATTAATAATGTCTATACAAATTAAAAAGATTTACAGAGCGTCATAATCTTCCAAAACATTTGCTAAATGTTCATTATCTCTTGGTCTCTTAGAAATTCTTTTCTTCGTCACTGGTTTTTTTCTTTTGACATGATTAACTTTTTTGATACCGTTATCTTGCATGGAACTTATACCCTACAAATATTTCACATATAATGTGTGCACGCTACTTAAACAGTATAGTTAGTTAAGTGATGATCATACCTGTTTTTCCAAATGTTCTTCTATTTTTTCATCGTCAAGATTTTCCACTGTAATACTCCTCCACATTTTTTTAAAATCTTCATTAATATCAATAGTTGCAGATTTATCATTGTAGAACATAACTTTTTTTTTATCTCCTGGTCGAGATACGTATAATATTTCATTTTGCAAATGCTATTATAAAAATGATGGAATAATAAGCAACATCATTTTAAAAAAATAAAATATTTATTATATATTATATAATTGTTAATTTTAACAACCTTAAGAGCTTTTTCACAATTTGGTAAAGATTCTTGAATATCATCCAACATAATTCCTCCTAAACCTTTCAAATCTTGTTGTTTTAATAATTTTAATAATGCTTTTCTATCTTTAAGTTTATAAGGAGGCTTAAACATGTATTTCCCATCAGGTGTACGTTCAATTTTAGGATTCCCTGGAAGTGCTTCAACCTCTAACCACTTAGGTAAAAAAAAAAAAAAAGGTAATTAATGCAAAAGTTAATTATTTAATAATAATTTGTAAATTGTTATTTACTATACCGTTTTAACTTTAGTTCCCACATCTAACTGATTAGTTTCGTCTAATAATTCATCTAATGTTAAAGGATGATCATCACCGTCTTGATGCCTAGCTCTTATATACTTAACTATTTTGGTGAGTACACCAAATTTATACAGAGAACTTTGCCCATATGACTTGTAACTATTATATATATACAAATTAGTATTAGAATTAGTTTAGTATAGTTTTTATATGAAAAATTAAATTTATAAAATAAATATAGTATATATTTCATACTTCAAAGAACTTGATGTATTTGGTGGTGAAGGTGGTCTTGGCATAGAAGGTAATGGTTTAGATTTTCTTTTAACTTCATCTTTATTGCTGGTTTCTTCTTTTATTCTTTTTTCAACACTGAAATATAAACAATTTAAATATAGTTTATTATAAATATTATAAATTATATTTTATAGATAATGTTATAGAATCATGTAAATTAAAGTATTGTTTATTTATGAACTTACACAGGAATAGCTGAAGCTTTGAGTTTGAATAATTCTCTTTCCCTCAGTAAAGCTGGATCCATTTTGATTTTATGGTATACACCTAAAACTCAATTTATTTTAGTTAAACTGAAAATTCAAAATGCATAATCTAAATATAAACATTCAATTAATAAAATAGGAGTATGGCCAAATTTTAAATTTTCATTACAGTATTGTTTTTTCATTTGTGGATTATTTGTTACAAATACATATTTTTAAACATATAGAAGTATTTAGCAACACTAATTTGAAGTATATTGTACATACATTTACATTATGTTGGAATTTAAATACTTAAATTAGTAACAAAAGGTGGATGAGAAAATTATTAAGAATTATGTTGAAAATGATTGGCTTCGATTTATATTGGTAAGGTAGTTTTATTGAAATTTTAATGAAAACTGGTTTTTATTTTCATGCTGAAATTTATAAGTATTAGTTGATATTTATTAAATTACAATGTTTATATCAACTAAATTCGTCATGCAGAAATCATTTTAACAGATATGCTATGATTTTATTGAACTTTTAAAAGGATTATTTTTACTTACTCTATTTTTTCATCATTATTAAACAATTTTTATTTTTTTGCGTTTGTTCATTCAAAACTTGTTTTATTTATGGTACATTATAATACTACAGTAATCAGTACAATTGTTTAGCTTTTACGGAAATCCTCATTTGAAGCATGACAATATATATATATATTTTAAAGTGTTTACTGTTTACACTTAACATTTGAGTTTACTTTTATTATCTATTATTATTATGAAATATTTATCATTACGATGATCAGTGTTACCATTTTGTTCCTTCCATATACCCCTCTGAAACCCGTTAGCCGCTAATTGGGTATTTTTGTTTTGAGTACTTTCTTTGATCTTTATTTGTTCGTGAGAAATCGTATAGTTCGTCTTTCAATGTATTATTTAACTATCCGTTAATTTGCGCAATTCATAACTGAAACCCGTTGATCTTAAGTAAAAGTAAACAACTATATAGTCTGGGACGTGCAAATTACACGAAAAAAAAAATGTATTACACATTACATAAAATCACTGTAATGAATTAAAATTTTATTACGGTAGGAAATTCGAGTAAAAATTAGAAAATGTATAATTGAATTACTTACAATTATAAAATATAATATAAAAAAGCAAATATAAAAAGGTAGATACGGATACATAGATATTGTAGTAAATATTTATAATACTTAAATTAATTGCCGCAGTTGTGGTTTCATTTTAAAAAGACAAACCAGATAATTTTTTTAAATTTATTTATTTAATCATATTAAACACTGAACTCGAAAAAATATAATTAAAGCACATTTTTTACGTTTAAATGAGCGTGGTTTTGATTTAAATGAATATTAAGTGCTTAGGTAAAATGTATCTTTTGCGTAAAAAGTGTTACATTTAAAATAATGTATAACCAATTATTTTGATTTAGGTATTATAAAATTTTGTGTAGAATACATATTGTAATATATGAGTTGTATCATAAAAATTGTATGATAAAATCATGCTATATTTTTTAGTATAGATACTTTAATATGGTCGGAAAATTTAAGTTTTCTCGAATGCTGTCTGATATTACAGCCTTTTTAGTATTGCATAAAATTCATACGGCTGGTAGGTGTATTGTTATTATTAATATTTTTGATTTTAAAATAAGTTCTGTCGAAAATTGGTTGTTATAGCTCATCGACGTTCATATTGGTTTATTGAATTTAGAAAAATTTAAAATTTACAAAAACAATATTAACAACGATAGTAACAATAAGACAATTAGACAATAATACAATAAGACATTGTAAATACGAGACGTTAATCGGTGGAAAACTAATTTTGTACTGCAAAATGTAAACAATACCAAACTAGTATAATACGGATAGATATATGAAGATATTATTTACTAGATAATTAAGATAATTATAATTCATTATTAATTTGTTCTGTACTTGCTTTGTATTATTTTTAATACAAATCGTATACATTATTTATGTATTATTATTTATTAGTGAAATGTCAAGATTTCGACTTATTTAATTTCTAAATGAAAATTAATTTTGATTATTTTTAATTAATAATCTAAATAAATAAAATAACTTAAATGTTAGGTAATTGATTAAAAATTAAAAATTACTTAAGTAATTAATTTTCTGTGATTGAAAAGTGATCAGTTCTGTATATAGTGACGTATAAAATTAGTACAAGTTGTGGGACGGTCAGGGTATATGTTATTTCTTTCATTTAAAACAGTTCCAACTGGCAAGTGACTTGCTGAAATTATAAAAGTCAACCGAAATATTATGCACCAACAAGTATTTATTAAATATTTGTTGTACTCATGTTTGAGAATAATATACTTCAACTAAAATTATATTTCTATACTTTGAGAGTTTTATTATTATGTATGGCGTACTATACTTACTATTTTTCTGCACATTATTGGTCGATGACAGTTTGCAAACGTAATTATTATGTTTTGTTATGTTTTAATTATTGTTATTATTTTACTTAATTTTTTTTCTTTGAGATTCGTTTTATTATACACATTGGCTAACATGGTTATAATTAGTAATAACTAGGGCCCGGGATCCAATGCAAAATGCATCTTTTTTTGAATGACCTTAGACAATGCTTTCCAAGTACATAATTTACTATATGTAACAGCAGTAGCACCGAATGAATTCGAAACTGCCAGTTCAAATAATTAGATTTACCCACTCACCCTTTCCAATTTACCACCTATTCAAATACCAAAACATTTTTTTTTAAACATCTTTAATAATTAATGATGTTATATAATATTTAATTTTGTAAATATACCATTTTAAATAGAAAATACATGTCAAGTAATATATAAAATAAATAATTAAAATTTTTTAATAATTTTTTATATTTTTTTATTAACATTCAAATTTTCTAGGCAGTTCAATTGAACTACTCGGAGTATGTGTTTGACGCCACTTTAGTGTTTATGTTTTTTTTTTTTGTTGCATTTTTCAATGTTTTTTCATTTTAAGATTTTTTTTATTATTTTTCGATCATTTTAGTTGATTTAATATACTTTAATATTTGTACAGTATACCAGTATATTATATAGTATTTTTTCATACTACAAATTTCAAATGCAAAGAACATTTTTTTTAAAGTCTCTTCTATCATTTTGAAGTTTAAATTTATGTGCTCAACTCTTCCTTTAACAATTCAACCAATACTGATAGGTTAAAAACTTAGATAGAAGTTGCAGTATACTGTTGTGAATATTTTAATTTTATTAAAACAGTAATTAATGAATTTGAAGAAAACAATGTCATAGTAATAAAAAAGCGTAACATTTACGACAGTCAAAGAAATGTAATCAAATTTAATGTTTATAAAAGCAAATCATGGAAATATACCAAGCTGTAAAATTTCTAAAGTCATATTTTTAGCTGAGAAAATTGGTGTCGTAAATGATACCAAAACTTGTGTTTCAAATAATACTTGTAATTAGGAAAAAGCAATTAATAAAAAAATTGTGGTTATACTAAATATAAACAATTTTAAACATTACAAAAGGCCTAAATATAAACCTATAAACCTTTCTAACAAATATATCAGGAGATTTAACACTAGACGATATTTGTCACTTCAAATATGCTCCTCAGTCAATACCATAGTCGCCGGTCACAAATCAATATTTTCAATTTTCCGTTTTTTTTTTTTTTTAATAAAATTATAAATAATTTAATAATTTATTAGTATTTATCAGTCGAAAATTTTTACCGCAATTAGTTTTAAAATTGCATTTGTATTAGTTGATTGATTATTAATTTCAATTTAACTTGAATGTTATTTTTGTGTACATTTTAACTCGGACATTAGACTAGGTCATGGCTTGGTTGACCTAAGCTGTTGGGTACGCAGCGAGAATTAGCAATTTTATTAAATTTCGTCTGTAGTATAATTGACGCAAAAACAATAAAATCTATTTTTTATTTCTGAGATGAGTGAACATTTCAATTTTCATATTTTCTCCAAGCATTGATTTATTATTCAAATTAACCAGTATTATGGAATACATAAATATTAGATTAATATACCGAAGAATAATTACATTTTGTGATAAACACTATTTTTTTTAACAACACTTAAAATTATAGTGCAAAATATTGCTTATTAACGTGAAATAAATGAAGATTTTATTCCATTTTCATAAATAGTTATGGTTGAGCTAGTGGTAGTTTTTATATCTTGGAAGTATCAAGCACTATAATTTGAGATTACAGAGGAAACTAAGAATTTTCATAAATCTGGATATTTTAAAAACCCATAAGAAAAAAGTGATTTTAATTTCCTTCATTGAGTCCTATTTACTAGTCTTAATTTTTATATTTAGTAATGCGTATTATTGATTTTTATTCCTTGTCATACATTTTTATTAATAATACATACAAAATATATAGTTACAAAAAATTAAAAAAAATTAAAAAATTAAAAAAAAAAAAAACTAAATTTTCTTAATCATAATTATAAACATATTGGTATGTTAAAATACTTTGAAATAGGCTGTATGTACATTAATGCTCATATAATAGTTACACAAGTCAACTAATCATCTAGTAGCCATAGTCTTGTTGGCATATGGCTAAAAGCATCATTCATAATCTGTTTGAATATAATCGAAAGATTTTCACCGATATTTTCCTTTAGGTCGTTTACTACTTCTAACGCGTTTTGGTTTAAAAAGGTGTTGACAGTCCGTCCTACGAAATAATAAAAATATGGTAAATAAAAAGTAAATGTTGAATATTATAATTAAAATATTAAAATATTAATATTTTATATGTTTTATAATTACCTAACACTTTGTTGCCATTGAATAAATTGTCTAAGTTTACACGCATGGCTGCCAAGTTAAAGTCCACTTTCATACTGTTGGCCATCATAACTGTTTCATTCATATACTTGGGGAAATATATTTTTGTCTGTACGTGTGTTGTTACATTTTCTGGCAATTAGACAAAGATAATACAATATAAAAATATTATTATTTATGTTTGGTTAAGAACACTCACTTAAGTACAGTTTAGCATCACCTACTCCAACCAGTGGCAGTAATAATAAATTTCCTTTAAGGTCATACTTTGATTCAACTTTGATTATTGGTATGAAAAGTCCGATATCTAGACGATTTTTAACTAAATCTAACCTAAAAATATAATTGTGTATTATTATGTAAGTAGGATCAAATAAATATGTTGCTAATGAGCGAAAAAAAATTAAACAAAACAAAAAAACGTTTGTGTTTAAAAATATTATTTAGGTGATTTTCACAAATATCAGAAGCTTCTAAGTTAAAAAAAAAAAATACTTAATAGTTATTTTTTTTATTATAAAGTTAGACAATATTTTTAGAATGTGATAAGAACATTTTTTAAATAGACAATGAGTTAATGACATTAAATTCCATGATATTAATATATTCGTTCTCGAGGATTAACTAAAACCCAAACAAAATTGTGTTTATTCAAGTAGTATTATAATAATTTTAAATAATTTTTTATAAATTGAAGAACTGAAGCTATTTTGAGTTTTATAATTTATTTTGGGGTGGTCAAATTGCTTTTGGGTTGGAAAAAAGTAAAGATCGAACTGCATTCGGGTAAAATATAGATAGTGGTCAAACTGCACTTGTTCAAAAAAGAGGTTAAAACTTTGTCGGTTTTTACTATGAACGTTCACAGGTACGTGCATACAAATCGTTGTAACCGTGTTGTCTAACATAGCTGATAATTTTTCTTTTACAAGACTTATATACAGTGCCGGATTAAACATTTGTGGGCCCCTAGGCAATTAAAATTTTGGGTTCTACAAAATTATTTTTTACGTACATCTTTAACATTACTGTCCAATAATTAAAATTAACAGTTTTAAAACTAACCGACTATTATTAATAAATAAAATTATATTTATTATATTTTTAAATTTGCAAGAAAAATTAATTAATTATTATATTATTTCTATTTTTTTCGAAATAATTTAATTATTATTACTGCATATAACACTTACAAATTAATATATATTATATTTCATTATGATTTTTGTCCTGTTAATTCGTAAATAGTATACAAATATTATTAAATATGAAAAAAAATATGGTTTTCCGTTTTCACGGGGCCCCTTAAATGAGTGAGGCCCTAAGGCGGGCGTCTCCTCCACCTAATGGATAATCCGGCATTGTTTGTATACGAAAAATGTTATATTTTCACTATTCACGGATTATAATACCGTTTTTAAAAAAATGTTAATAATATTACCAATCTTACGTTAACGAATGCTATGGCACAATCACAAATAGTATGACTGAAATGAGTTGAAAATTATTGTAATAATGATAATAATAATATTTAACGCTTTAATTTATTATATTATATATTATTTAATAAATTAATTTTAAGATTTTAAAAAATGATATTTATAAAATATATTAACAAAATGATATGTATAAAAAAATAATTTTTAACCACGCCAATAATTAAATCATTTTTAGTCCTAAACCGGTAACTGGAAAAGGAAATAAGGGAAATTAAATTCGACCATACCCATTTATTTTAGATGAAATTTCTTAATATTTTTAATATATTTTCTTGTTAGTATAGAGATATTCAATTATTTTATAAATTATTATCTTCATTTATAATATACCTTTTAAAGTTATAAAACTAACATACTTGGTATATAACGCAGTTGTATTACTTGGTCCATGAACAATAAGATTTGTAAATGCTCCGGATAATGTTACAGCACCTTGGCCTTTAGTTAATGCAACTCTGTCAATATGCATTGGTTCGAACGGCCTAGTTCCGATTTCCGGTATACCTAGTTTAATAGATTTTTTACAAATTTAAAGATTTAGTTAAATGTTTTACTCTCTTTTTGTTAATTACCTTTAGCCAAATAGGGAAACATGTTCTGGAAAGTCATACGAAAGCATTCGTTCAAATTCGGGTCTTTCTTTCTGCAAGCGTTTAACCAAATAGCTATAAACATTGAAAATATATTATGGCATTTAATTACACTATATTAAATAATTAAGTCATAATAATTCAAAAGGTATTCGTAAGTAAAATGTATTTGAAACAACTTCAAATATAATTCGAGTCATTATGAGTTTCGAGTTATCGTGATTATACTGTAATTGTACCAATAGAGTTATTAATATTTATTTGTTTATGTACGTATTCATATTGAATCATAATTGGATTGTGTTATTGATTAGTGGATAGATTCATTGATGAAAATAATTTAAATTCAAGACGTGCAAATGTAATTTATGAAAATTTTGGTAGCATGTATATTTAACATAAATAAAAAATATATGACATACATTTCAGTACATTCATCTTGTTACATCTTGATATAAGTATTTATACAATTTAAAACTAATTTGCATTCATATAATAATATTAACTAAGCATAACAGTCATTTTCACATAAAAATAAGCCTTTTGGAACAAGTCTGTCACACAATCTTATTATGTAGTATTTAATCCCTTGTATAGTATTTACTGTTTATAATGTTCATTCGAATAAGTTTAAAATGATTAAAACAATTTAAAACATAAAAAATTTGAATAAATCATTAATTTAATTTTTGAAAGCATTTTATTTGTGTTGATATGTACCTCCAATTACAGATACAGCAGCTTATTTTTAAATTAACTTGTTTTATAACGAATATGAATTTTAAAGTGTTTCATGACCGATCGAAACATGAAAAAAAACACCGAATATTCAAATACTTTGAATATATTTTTTATTTTCGATAATATGTTTTTGTAATGTTTGAATTTATGATTTTGCTAACATTTGGAATTATACATATATGCAATATATACGTATCTGCATTCATTAATAAAGTAAAAATGTTCATATATATAGTGACTTACATGTCCATTAAAAATGACTTTTATAGGTATGTATGTGGTTATTATGTTTGTTCAGACTTTAATACTTTATCACAAGTTACGAATAAAATACAATGTAACATATAATAATACTCATGTTCTATACAATACACAGTTCAAATATATACTTATATGTATGTATGTATAATATACCTACTAATGTGAACATCAAGAATTACGAAGGATTTTCGTTATACAGTGATAAAAACCGTTTATACACGGGAATTTCATAAAGAAAACATATTTTCAATATAACATCCATGGGCATATCTGCGATGAAATATTATATACATAAAATATACGTATATTATTATTTATTATTATACTGCTGTTGTAATAACTATGGTAATTACCTTATTAATAAGTAATTATAGTTCGTTCCGTTTCTTCTGAAATTGTTTATTTTTTTATTTGATACAAGCTGACCACACACGTATTTTTATGCTATATATACTCTATAGTACACGCACATAATTTAAATATATAGGTATAAATTTATATGTCGATATACGTATATTTATCGGTATTGTATAGTTTTTACATTTTTATATAAACAATAGCAACCCGCTATCTGAAACCAAGGGCGGATCCAGCACTTACTTACGGTCGGGATACTTTAAAGGAGAAATTATATAATATAGCTGATCATGCGTATGTAAAGGTGTCTTGGGAGGAGGCTTTAACTCCTTCAAAAATTATGTAATCATATTGCACTAAAACTGTCAATATTTATTTTTATAATCTATTATTTAGTTCTTCTATATACAATTTATTTTGATTTCTAACGGAGATGGCACTTGCTCCCATTACACATGTCCCTGGAACCATCATCGTCCGAAACACTGCTTAATGGCATATGCAGGTGGCGGGTGTATAGCCAATTTTTTTAAAAAAAAGATATAGATTAATACGTACTGCGTATGTATATAATTTTGCGTGTGTATCTTATATGTATATTTAAAATATAATAATATAAGTATATAGGCTAAGTTTATTGTAATAGATGTGTATATGATTTTTAAAAATACTTAATTATACAAATATAAATACATTTAAATTCGTGGCATTGTTGAACGAGTGCTACCTACTAAATCATACACGTTGTGTGGTTATTTGCTTTCACTGCAGGAAACCGCGATGTACGTGTGTAAGTAACGCGAGAGGAGAAAAATACACACATTCAAACGAGATGTATGGTGTGTGAGTTTGTAAGAGAGCGGGAGAGTAAAGGAATAGGAAATTATCATTTTTTTTTTTTTATAGACGTTTTGAACTATCACTTTCATTATGAAGGTGCTTACTTAATGGGTCTATAGGTCGATCTCTGTGTACCAAAAGCAGGTTCTGTGGCTTGAAGGCAATATTTTATAATAATAAACAAACAACTATGTACTACATAATAGGTACGTACAGCATACATGAGCCAACGATCTGCCGGTTTGCGAAAAAAAAAGAGCCACCGATGTCCTTACATAATATTCTCGATACGGGATATATATTATATTGATAGGTATTATAAATTATAAGTTATATACGCATATAATATATATAGATGTATATTTGCGGTTATCGAAATCTCTCTCCACTGTTAAATTTAGTTTTGTATAATTTGACGATAAAAATACATACATAACGCGTGCATAACGCGACGTATGTTTGAGAATTCGAAGTCATTTGTGCGAGTTACATAAAATGTGTAGATACAAAAAGTACAAAATAAACTAATTATAATTGAAAAAAAAATAGTAACGACATAACTCATCAGTAAATGAACGTACAATTGTTGAGAGGAATTTTATTTTCACCGGAACTTAGGGAGGAGGGATTGAAAAATCGAAATGTGCCCTACTTAATCATGTAATAATATACATCATAGGTAACACTTATAATACAGCTGTGTGCGATAATCTGTTGCCACCTCGTATTGTATTCGTATATAAATGTAATTGTATGCATATGTATAAATATATCGTTTTTGACCTGTTTAGGAAGTAAATTCGTGCACAGAATGTTTAAAGGATAAACGTCGGGGACGGTCACGTGGGGTTGTTGCGAAACACGTTGAGTTACGTCGATCGGCACGGGTATCAGAGGCCACGAATACCGTCACACACACATACTCGACACACACACACACACACACACACACACACACACACACACACCCTGTAATGAATATATAAAATACGTGGGTGGTGTTGACTACTGGACGTGATGAACCCTATTTTGCAATTATTTTACGTACCTGCAGCGCTCGCGATAGTATTCGATTTATTCATTGCGATTGATCTGACAGATGTACGTGTCCTGAACTCCAACAAGGATACTTAATAAACATATTATTATTGCTAATTTCGTGATACATTTTAATGTCTTTATATGTCGCCTGTATGATATTCTTTCACAACTTGAGACAATGATAGTCCAAAAAATATTTCGAACTAAGACAGACTATAAAATACCATGTCGTAAGTACGACATCGCAATTTTCGACCAGGTCATTGACGAGTGTGTGGTAGCTAGAAACTAATTTGTTTGGATTTCGATGAATAAAATATGTACTATAATTCGCAGAGGATTTCGTTACTTCGATTTTATATTGTTCAAAAAACTAAAAAAACTAACTTATAAACCGTATAGAACAACCTAAACACGCGCTTACAATTACGTACGAATACAAAAAAAATTAAATTGTTACTCCTCTAATTCGACATGTAAATTCTAAAAAAAAAAAAAAACCCCGATGGAAAAGCACGCTATTTCAACGGTGTTCGTATATAATAACAGTAGGTCTATATTATATCCTTACGAGTGGTCTGGAGTGGCGGTATGGTGTCTTGTATAATCGGCTTTTCGTTACTTATGGCTCCGATCATCACTATGCATCCGACGAGGGCTGAACCGCAAAAGACAATTGCTGTGGGGTGTATCATTCTTGGGCAGTTCACTGTACGCGTTGCAGATCAATATATTGTTGTTTAATTGTAACGTATTGGCGTTATTATAGTATTAGTGCGTGAGGCGATCGCGATTCAAATTTATCTCTCTCTTTAATTTCGATTTATTTTTTGCACGCTGAAGCCCGGCGTTGCGTCTACGGTGTGTACACGTTTATCAACGGCTGCTGGTGACGGACAAAATACAAGGAAATCGTACGGAATATCTTCCAAAAGTCAATCCGCTAAAAAGAAATAAAAACGGACTGAACTCGCGTTACAGATGACGGACACGCGGAACGTTGGCGTAATACTTGCGACCGGCGTAATATCGTAAGCGCCGAAGAAGACTAGTTTGAACGTGGTCGACAGAGAAAGTTTTTATCCGTCAGCCGTCTCCGCGTTGGGTACGTTTGATTGGTCTATCGCCGTTATGTTATGTTTATTTATTATTACTATTATTTTAATACCGAAATGAAGACTGTGTGACATGGTAGTGTAACTAAAGATAATGCATTTGAGTATTTGGTTTAATGTTTTTTTTTTTTTTTTTAATTTTCTTTATTACATATATAATTGAAATTGGAAGCTTTGTAAGACACTAGTAATAATGTTACTAATAATAACTAATATTTAAGTATAAATAGGTCTATATAAAAAAAAGTAAACAGGTATAAAATAAACTCTAAATATTTACACATAATTCATGAAAAATTTTTTTCCGTGTATAATTTAAATTGGTAGTATGTCATCCACAGGATATTTGTGGTATAATTTATTGGCGAATTTTTTGAACATGTTACCAATTGTTTCTTCTAAGATAGGTTTGAACTCTAAGCTCACTGGTATCCAATTATCATTTAAAAAGTTGTTCATTTCAAGGGCTAAACAAAAAAAGATCTTATTAAACAAATGTGATAACTAAAATTAAAAAAAAATAATAATAATTGTTTAGACTTGTTGACGAGTATACTATTTATATTATTTTTTACCAAAACATAAAATAAAACGTATTTATTTATAACTATAAGATAATACGATTTAATGTAAATATTTCTTTTTTTTTATACTTAAAAGTTTTAAAATATTTTTATTTTTAACGTAATATGTGTTTATTTGAGTAATTTCATTACTATAATTATGCTTTTCTTTCAAATTTTGTAATATTTAATCAGCTATATTTTACAAATAAATACATCACGGGCTTATGAGCGTGAATATAAAAATAATTTAAATATCTTATTGACAAAAACATTTTTGGGGTTAATTATTATTTATAAGTTAAACTTTATAAGCTTCAACAGTGTAGCTTCTAAAAATTATAATGCAAATATTATTTATATGGATTGCCATCCATTTATACTATTCAATATATTGATAAAATGTTTATTCACATAAATTAATAATTCATACAATTTTAAGTCACATATTATACTGGTAAACTATTTTAAATATAAAAGTAAAACTAAATAATTTAAATTTTTTTTTAATTAATTAATTTTAATAATATTGATGTTTAAGTAAAACCATTTAGGTTATAGTATTTATATTATATTTAACATTTTCACATAGACATATGTCACATATGTCACATAATATAATATATTATATAAATGTTGTATAGACATAAATATTTAAATTTGTTAATAAGCTGTTTCAAAATGTCTATTATATACTTTAAAGTTGACAAATTTGATGTTAATGTTTTTAAGATGTTTATATATGTTGTTATAACATATATTTAATAGTCATTAGTTATAGTAATTTGTGTATTACCAAGTTCGCTGTCGCCTGGAAACAAATCACTAAAGTAAACACTTGCATGCCCGATATTAAAATCAATTGCTACTTCTCGAACATTAAAGTGTTTTTTGTTATGAAATTTAAATGTATTACATTGGACAAAGATATTTGCCTCGATATTTGCTAAAATATAAAAAAAAAAATCAATTAAAAAAAAGAATAAAAAAAATATTACTGTAATGACGTACTATAATTTCCCTCGCTTATACCAGATGCATTAATGGGTAACATAAGAATGTTACCAATGATCGAATAATTAGCCGTCATGCGTAAGTAAGGTAACTGTAATTTTATTCGAATTCTCATTTTTTCCAAATCCACTCTAATGATAAATAAAACACATTATTACATTTAAATTATCTATAAATAGCTAAGAAAAGTCAACATATTTTGAAAACCATATTGTCTGTAAAGAACGGTGATATTAAAATCCACTGAAAAATTCAAGTAACTACTATTATTATTTTTTAAGTTCCGATGAAAAAAAGTGAAAAGTCTTCGAAAAATGTTACATTCCGTCAGTACTCGTATTTCCATTTATTCAAATGTTTAACTGGTTTTTTCAATTATTTAAAAACTGTTGAAAAATTCAAAAAACAACTTTATAAAAGTAATAAATAGACAACATTTTCTATAAGAAATGATGTGTTTTTGTCGAAATTGTGTACAGTTTACATTATTTTGTGTGACTGTCTAAGATCCAAAAGAAAATCAAAACGCATGATGATAAAATCAATAAATTCAAAATCTAAAATAAAATAATTACTTTGTATTGTTATATTTTAACTTACTTGAGAGTTTTCAAAACAAATTCACTTGGCCCATATACCCGAATATTTCGATAGGTTGATTGTACACCGACACTATTAATGTTACCTTGATTCATCACAATTTCCGGTATATATAGTGGTTCACAGGAGGGAATAAATAATTCTGGAATACCTATAGTTTGCATAAAGTATAGAAATGAAGAATACATAATTTATAAATAATATTTTGATTCCAAGATGTTTTATTGGTTCCAACGAAATTACATTTTCAGTTTTTCAAATAATTGTTATGTTTTCTTGTCAACCAAATACATAAATTGCTTATAATTTATTTCACAAGTTATTAAGAATTATAAAGAATGATATTCTTAAAAGTTCATTTTAATTTCGTTTTATTTATTTTCGAACATTATCTACTTTAAGACCTGTTTTATATTATACCTGTTTCAATAAACTTGAGAGAACTTTTAGTTTTGCAGAGTAGAACTTTGTGTTGGGATCTAATGAATATATATTAATATAATTCTAATTAAGTACCTGAAATCTATAACTAATATAATATTAATTTGTTTTTAAAATAAAATGTATTCAATTTTTAAGTAATTATTGATTAAAATATACAGTGATTAATTTATTAAAGTCCTAGTTTCCACCCTCACAACGCGAATTGACAACGTGTACATTTGGTAAAACAAAAAATATGTATTCAATTTGAAATTATATTTTTTCAAATTGTTATTTTAATTTTTTTTTTTGGGAATTTGACATATTTGTATTTTTAATATTTTTACCTAAAATATTTTTAAATCTATAACTAATTGCATTGATTAAATAATATTTAATATCTAACTTACTAAGTTAATAGTAATACATTTTTAGCAATAGTATTTATATTTAAAATTAAAAAACTAATGATTTACCTTTTGCTAGGTATGGTCTTAGATCTTCGATAGCTTCTTTTATACAATTGTTTAAATCTGGATCACTCCGATGACATTTTCGTAATAAAGCTGAAAAATTGTTACCAAACTATTATTATTAAATACATATTATAAATAATTGATTTGAACTTACGAAGTTTTTCGAGATGTGTATGGTTGTGTAAATCATTTTCAGAACGGATGTTAGTTGTAAAAAGTATAAGTGCCAAAAAACATAAGTTATAATTACTGTTGGCCATTTTTTTGCTTTAGAAATATGTAATGGTTTTCAAACACTAAGCAAGAAAGCAGACACTAAAATAATCATGTGCAAAATATTAGGTATGCATTAAAACTAAACGTGTGGTAAAATGTTTTGTACGCAAAAAATATTGTGTACAAAACAATTTCAGTGTTCCGCGTTCACAGAAGTGTAGTAATAAATGAAGTACATGTACATGATTTATAATTGTTGTTTATATTTATTATAGGTTTTAAGTTCCTTGTTGTTAACTGGACCATATACGAGTATGTTATTATGGAACTAAAAAAAAAACAATTTTCTAAGTAAATATACTTTTACCAAATGTTGGTAACAGTAAATTTATATAAATATTAAGGGTAAAATTATTAAAAAGACATGAGAAAACTTTAGAAAAACCTATTCAAATGTTTTATGTCCAAAACACCAAGTGTAAATGATAAGCAATTTTTTTAAATCTCCATTCGAATATATAATTACTATAAATTGTTGAAAATTAAAGTTTTAATAAAGAATTATTCAAAGTAAGTTTAAAGGTAGAAAATACATATATATGTATTGTTCAATGTTTTTGTAATAGTTTTTTAATAACACATAGTTACTTTAATAATAATTAGACAATATTAATCACCACAGAATAAATAGCACTATGATATAAACTTAAATACTAATGATGGGACACGTTCATAATTGTCTCATTTAATTTAACTCCATACGAGTTAGCGGTGCCATGTCTAGCATAATTATCACCCAGTGCCAAGAATCATTTTGAGCGCCGTCACTCTTTCTACCAAATATTTTTATACCTATAAGTTATAAAGAGACTACATAAAAACAGGGAATTTTATGTAATTACTTATTTTGTATTTATTCAATTAATAAAAGAAATAATCAATAATTTAAGAACAATATAAGTAATACAACTCAAACTGTATAGGTAAAACAAAACATATAGATAATAACCTATCATACTAAATCGGTATAATTTATTTAAAAATCAAATGTATTCAATTGCACAAAAAATAACTTACCTTTAAATCATTGCCGATGAAAAATTATTAGGTATCTATGCAATTTCTACGTTCATGAACTATAATATGAACACTATCATAGATAGGTTCAAAATAAAATCGTACAATTTACTTCGACATTCGTTTATGTTATTAAAGTTATTAAATTAATTACATCAAGTGACAATAATAATTGAGTATAAATGGTATATGATCATTGAGTTGTTATTGACGATGTTGTCATTTCGGGGAAAAAAATAAATACCAGTACTAAAAACAAACTAGCAACACTACCGATCAAGTAAATTATATCGACCACGCGAAGTGGTCGATATAATAAACCATGGCGTTGAACGTGTTAAAAATTATGAATTAAATAATATGGTTAATTTTCAGGAAAATTACTTAGATTATGAAAAAGTTTTTGACACCCCCAGTGATCATAGAGCCCGGTGCACCCACAACTCTCACACCCCCTTAGGAACGACCCTGCGAGCTAGTATTGTTTTGTCGTTTTTTATCTGATACTAGAATTCACCATTTAATTTCCACGATTTATCTTGGGAAATTCTATTTACGTGAAATTGGTTAAAATGTTGCTAAAATCTAATGTACATAATATATATATATTTAAATACAGTTATTAGAATTGTGAATTTAAATTAATTAAATTTAATTGAAAAAAAAAATAAAAAAAAATAGTGAGATATGAGACCGCTTGTCCTTCGTTAATTCATCATACTAGTCTCATTATTTGTATAAAATTGAAAGTGATAATAAATCATCAGTATTCATCGCATAAAATAAGAATTCTAAATGAAGGTCTACACTATACATATACATTTGTAGTATACTAAATATCTTATTTTATATAATTAGAACTAAAATATATTACGTGTTCAAAAAATGAGGTATGTTGGTTAGTTAAACTTGTCTTGGAATACTAAATTAGATTCTCATTTTATCTAAATTTTTTTTGATAAAAACTACACTTAAAAGACTGTCGTTGTTCGTGAAAATAATCAAATATGCCATATTTCAAATTTAATATATTAAAATATACCATACTAAATCTTTTGAATTTTTTTGATTATACAATTTGGAATTAGGCTATTGTATCAAATGTTTAATCAATAAAAATTGTTCATATTATACTATGCACAATATGACAGCGATGAAAAATTATTATACAATAATTATTATTTAATATTTTATCTAAAATTGTAACTCAAAAGTTTCATGCAATATTGATTATATTTGAAGTTTAGGAGTAGGTAACTTATTCGTACATCTCTTAGGTATTTAAAAAAAATTTGTTTTTTAATACAAAATACTAGGTGTGATTTATTTAGCTAATAGTCAAATTATTGATTAATATTGAGCTGTTTGCTAAATATAATAAACATAAAATAATATAATATGAAATGTAGAAAAACTATAATATTTTATTTTATAATAACATTTTGTGTCCATGCTCTAGAGATTCCAAATTTATTAATTATTATTTGAAATATCACAATATAGGGATAATTAACATCATAATCTTGGACATTACATGTAATTATATATTTTCATATTGTCGAAAATTGATTTAGTTTTAAAGGAACAATTGTTTTGGTTCTATTAAAAAAGGTTATACATTTTAAATCGAAACCTATTCTCAAAAAAGTTTAATGAGAGATAGACAAAACTTAGTAAAACTATAAGACTACATTTCCGGAACATAATATGAAGTATTTAAACAGTGACGGATTTAGCGTTTTAGCGCCCCTAGGCTTAATCACTCTGCCCCCCCCCCCCATCACTCTACTAAGGAACCAACAATATTTGGTCTAAACCCTTCTCTTCAAATTTTATTCAATTTTTTTTATCAAAAAAACATATAAAATATTAAATCTTTAAAATTGAAAACTTCTAAAAATAAAATATTTCATGTGTATTGATTTACTTTAGATACCATTATTACCAGTACAAATAAACAACGCTTATACAGCTACATAACGGAAATATAAATAGTCAAATATGAAAATACCTATACTCAGATAGCCGGATGTTCCCAATAAGTAAATAGGTACTAATAAGTTATTAATAATGACTATAAAATAGTAACTAACTGTAATTATTTTATTACAAATGAAATATTTTCAAATTGTAATAATAATTGTAATATTCTTTCTATAGCTTAGAGGTACACATCATACAATGTACATATTAATATATTATTATAACTTTTTAAAATTATTTTTATTCATATTTATATGACAAATATAAAAAAAAATATTAAAATAAATATACCTAATAAGTCAATAATAACACTTAATTCTATAAAAAAAAAGCCGCCCTAGGCTATAAGCCTTTTAGCCTGCCGCCTAATCCGCCACTGTATTTATAGTATTTATAAACAACATCAAAATATTTCTATTTTGTGTTGAACATTATAATTTATAATTTATTGACTATTGTAATTGGCGCATATTTGTATTATCGGTCAATTTTAGTATTTCGAGAACAATTTTTTTAGCATTTCGTATAAAATCATAATAAAAGAAAAATTCACTAACTAAAAATACAAAATCACATATATAAGAATGTCAAATAAATTATCAACAGACTTTGTATCTAAATCCTCGTTCTGATAATTATATAAATTTGTTTTAAATTTGAAATCAAAATTAATAATATTCAAAATGCAACACTGAGTATAAGACGATGCTTTTACTTTATTATTATTAATTTTTTTCAAAAATAATAAGGTTTTCAAATGTATAGTCAATATAATGCGTTTATGCGTCTATACATTTTTATGATTTAATAATTAACAAAACAACTATAATTTATTCGTTAATTTACTGACAATAATCTAGAACCATCTAGAGTCTATAGTAAAGGACAGTTGTTCTCAAATTGGAGTAATTCCCCTGGAGTGAATTTAGATACTATACGAGGAGATTATAGTGATGATGAAATAACAAGAATTTTGTCGTTAAAATAAATTTACCATTCTACAGTCATTAAAATTGAAAACCAATTAATTTTCGGACGGTCACCTATCGATAACAGTTTTACAAATATTTGATCATGATTAGTCTTTTTGCAGGTTACCCCGAATCCAATTCGGATGTAAAAATAACATGCATTGCGCATTGTCAAAAATATCCTCATGGATTTTGGATTTGGTAAAAAAACAATCCCAAATTTCTTAATATATTTTTTTTTAATTATAATATTTAGTATAAAAATGTATAAAATTGTATTCAAATACGTAAAAAAATAATATTAATAAGTTGATTTATATTTTGTTTTTAAAATTATATGTCATTATGATTATAATATATATTATACTTAGTTATTTTCTATCACTAAAACAAAAATAAGGTAATTTTTCCTTGTTTGATAGACTCTGTGTTAGTAGATCAAAAACAATATCAAATTGCTTATGGTCTAAATTGTTATTCAATTTACTTAGGTCTCATACACTATATGTAGAATAAATACTAATTATAAATTAATATCTATGTTAGTATTTTACATGGTATGTTTATTCGATTAATGTATACAATTTTTGAACATTAAAATATGAAAAATTATACAAACAAATATTCACTTGATAGATAATTACATAACTAACACTATCGGTAATAAAAAGGTATTTTGTATATCATGATTTGTTCGAAAATATTGTGTGAAAATAATAATTTGTTGGTAGAAGATAAGCCATAAGACATGATAAAATGCTGCCTGTTTTTTAACTATAGTACATAGGAATGCGATTTTCCCATTTTCACCCAGATCTATCATAAGCTAAAAAAAATTACTTTGAAATGTCGTTTAATTGTTGTATACGAGTAGTATATAAAAATTGGATACAATTAAAAATTAAACGATTCGCGATAATTACTTTGAATATTTTAAATGTTGAAATTCAATGGAAACATTTTTCATAATAATTTGAACTATTGGATACTATACTAAATTTTAGGAATTTAAACTATTTTAAGTCAAGCCTAGTTATCATTAAAAAAATAAAAAATATAATTTAGTTAATTTTGCTCCGCTAAACATAAATGTTAAAATTATAAACTATCAACTGTCTATTTACCGATGTACCAAAATTGAGTAAATTATTTTTACGTTTATAAAAATGTCATTACAAGTACCTACTTAGTTGTACAAATAATTGTCATCAGTTGTATTATAACTGAACAAAGTTGGGTTGTAATATTACGGAAAATAACGCATCACTGTAACTCCGTTACTTATATACTGATACGTTACGTAATTCCATTACAATTTTCAATTTTTAACTGTGCAACAAAAAATGTAATGGAAATAATTTTACATAATGTTAGCAACATTTTATTAATTGTTATCATTCATTGTTATTTGTCAGTTGTTCAATAGTTTTTAATATTGTTATTGTACTCAATGTATGGGAAGCCCAGAATAGCGCGTACCGAATTAGCGACACTGCATCGGAATCCCGCTTAGGCTAAGAATGGTTCTTAGTAGGAAAAATTGTTTGTGGAATCCATGACGTCCTAACCCATGACACAATGATGACAATGATGACAAGGATATCAATTTTGTTTTTTTTTTAATTTGAATTTAATATTAATTTTGGTATTTTAAAGTTTTAAGTTAATTTCATTATGTTTTCCCGTCAAGTTTCCAAGACAACGGTTTTTTCTATTTCAGTTTTCAATCAGCATAAAATGTTATTTCTTAAATTCTTAAATTTTAAATTTTATTATTTTAAATTAATTCTTGATTTTAATTTAAGAAATAAACATAAGGATATAAGAAAAATTAAGTTGTTAAACGTAACTTGTACACGTGTCATTGTTTTAGTGAACATTTTGATTTTAAAAAGACATTAATTCAACATATCAAAAGCCATTTGATGAAAAATGTACATCATCAGTCATAATGACTCCACACGTCAATGTGTAGATTAATAGCTCATTTACAGAGTATAAGTAATGTAAATTTTGAGTCTAATGTTTAAAATTATTTTTTTTTTATTTAGAAGAAAAATTTATTATCTATACAAAAAAAAAATTACAATAATAGAAATAACATAATCTCTACATTATTTTCGCTTCAGTCTACGTGACGGGTTTTACGGTAGAATGATGTTAATTTGCACAGATTTTTCGTTGTTTATCTTGATTGATGATGTGTACAAGTTACGTTTAACAACTTTAGCTTTTTTTTTATATCCTTATACATATTTCTTAAGAAAAAATTAAAATTAATTAAAATTTTTTTTTCAATTTACAAATAATAACATAATAAAACATATTATTTTCTTTTTTTTTTCATTAGGAACATCATTTTTAAAATTAATTTTGCTAAAATATTTTGCTACCCCTAAGACTTGACGCCCCCGGGTATGAGCTTACTCGTGCCCCCCCTTAAATACGGGCCTGTCTTGCAAACTTAACAGAAAAACATAATGAAATAAACTCAAAACTTAAAAAAACACTAAAACTAATTTTAAATAAGAATTTTCGAATTTCAAAAATAAATAACCAAAAATTGATATCCTCGTCATTATTGTTATCATAGTGTCATGGGCAATGACGTCATGGATTCTACAACAAGTGTTTCCTGTTAAAATCCATTCGACTTTGGCTAGGTTCACACTGTACACGCGTATCAGTAAATCCTGCGTAAAATCTACGGGTTTCTTATACACTGTTCACATGATGCGCGTGACATCGCGAATTGAAATACATACTGTTGTTACGGATCGTTCATTTGGCACACGCGTTTATGATGAAACATGGTCCGTTGTGGAATTCATATTATTATATTAAAATATATTATTGCGATAATTATGTTTTATTATTATAATTTATAAATTTATAATAGAAGAAATTATATTTTTTATAGTAGTTATTCTATTTTAACTCAGCTCAACCCAAATCATACTACTTAGTCGAATTTCTCTATATTGTTTATTATTTTTACACCGAAAAAATGAATATAGAAATAAATTTATTGGTGAAATTATTTTTCTTATGATGAAATACAAATACAAATAACTTCAGCTTGTTCATTTGCTTCCAGGTCGTTTTTAAGTATATCCGACAGGTATTGATCGATTGTTTATATTGCACAATAATTAACCCTATAATAGAGTAGACTAAAACAGTCTACGTATATAAAATATGATTTACATATTATACGTACCGGTGTGCCGCGAATACTTTGTTGGAAATGAAGTGTGCCTGTATTGTTAATATGGTTAAAAACTACTAGGTACCTAGTCTAGAATATCGCATAATATGTTATTATTTAATTATTTATTATTGTTTATTATAGTATATTATGTTATACTATATTATATTTTATTATATTATAATTATATTATATTACACATTGATATAATATATCAATACTTGACAGACTATAATAATAATTATAATTTATTATTCAAATATATTTTATACTAAATATATTTTTTAGTAAATATTATGATTTAAAACTATTTTAACTACTTAGAACTAAATTTATAATTATTTAAATAAAGGTACATCGGTATGCAAGTACAAACATACTGGCAAAATGTTCGCTTAGTGAGCCAACATTTTTATGTGGATTATCGACAAACAAATTGGTTTGGAAACACATCTACAATATATTACATTTACAAACGCTTTTTAATTTTTTGTTTGGTGTAGACGTTGCTTAACACAACAAAATATAACTAGACATTGGTGAACAACATATTACAATTGTATAAAACCATAAACGAATTCTATAAAATTTCGATTGATAATAATTAACAATAGATTATAAAAATTACATCAAATACAATTACCTCTGGTTATCGTTAACTGCGTCACAACTCACAATTAATTTCTTTAGATTTGCGCATTGTGTAACACGCATTTATCATATTGTCATTTTTATTATTTAGTTTTACGTTGTATTTATAAATTTTAAAATAAGTCGTGAAATTGTATTAAACATTCCTTGGGTCCCTTAAATTTTATGCGAGTAGGACAATGAAAAAATTATTACGTTAAATGTAAGTTATATGTTGGCTATTCAAAACTATTATCAACATTCAAAATCAATTCATTAAATTTAAAAAATCACTTTACACTTAATGGTATTATTTTTATTTTTTTATTTTTTTTTTTATAACATTTGATCTTAAGTTATTTTATTTTTTCAATTGTAACTTGAAAGGAATGTAATTACTTTTTTTTATTGAAAAGTAAAGTAATTTCATTAAAATTTTATTTGAGTAACGTAAAATGTAATTTCATTACATTTAGTATTAGTTAACGAGTAAAGTAAATTATTACTTTTTTAAAGTAACTAACCTAACACTGTAAATACACTATCCAACACAAATTATGGTACGCACTGTAATGGACTTACACAATTCTTCCAACTAAATAACAATAGTTTTAATTATATAAGTATTACATTTTCTTTTTTTTTTTTTGGAAAATCTGAGGTTTAGTATCGTCAAAAATTATTGTTTTTATAATTTTTGTTAACTTGTGTTTTTAATTGCTGTGTTTTCATACTTATTCCTAGGGCGTCAAATAGATAACGACTTAAAAACTGTCAATTATAATGTGCTTATTAACTTACAATTTATAACTTATGACCATGACAATGGCTATCATGATTCATAATTAACATCTAGTGAATTTTACTTACTTTGTAACTTTTGTAGAATTGACATGATTATATTCAAGAAGAATATCTAATGACCAAACACAAGGTTATTACCGATGTCTGATCATATATATAAAGCAAAACATTACTTAAAATATTCCCCATTTATAAATCAGCCATAAAAAAAAGAGATTTGAATCATCTAGTTTAATGTTGTAGTTCGAAATGATATTTAAATCAATAGTACTCGTTTTGAGCATAATTAGTATTAATGAAATCTCTAGCCGGTCATTGCGTAAGTAATACACTAATTATAATTTTAAATCCTAAATTTCGAATTTTAAAATATTATTTGCATTAGCATCTTACATCAAACCTTGTAAACGAAATGACCCAAACATTAACGAATGTTTAAAGAAGATGCTAGAAAATATCCGACCGTATACCGGTAAAGGAATACCAGAAATGCACATATTACCATTAGATCCAATTAAAATACCAGCTGTGACTTTAAATCAAGGTTCCGATTCAGTTAATTTTGCTGCCTTATTCACTGACTTGAAAGGATATGGCGTAAAAAGTTATCAAGTTCAAAAAATCAAGTAAGTCATCATAGTAATAAAAATGAAAATAATTGTAATAATATTCTAATAGTAATACAAATGTACAAATTATTAAATTGTACATTTCTACCAATTATGTGGATATTTAAAATAATAGTGATTTGTGCATGTATGTAGATGTTTATTGTTTAATAGAATACACGAATAAACAAAAACTTGTTTTTAGTTTTAATAACGAAATTATTTCATAATTAGTTTTATAATAAATATGTTAGATCTTAATTTGCATGATTGCACTGTTTACGAGCTGAATGGCGTACATTACAATAAAAATAACTATAATAAATATTAATAAATAATAATTATAGGTAACAACAAAAAAAAAAAAACTTTGATATTTATTTTTTTGATCAATCAATAAAAATTGGTGTATAAATGTATGTATAATATTTAATTAGTAGCGTCTCTAAACCCTTTTATAGAGTGAACGAATCTCATATATGTAATCATATTTATGTATTTTTCTAGTGTTATATAAATAATAAGTAACAACAATTTAAATAAAAAAAGCTTTGTGGTGTTACTGCCCCATTTCACCCCCGAGGATGTCCCTGTATTTAATCTTATTATGAAATAAATATTATTTATTGTTAATATTAACATTAAATCCATAATAAAAACCTTAACTTAACTAAAACTTCTCTCGTATTCGTTCGTTGAACAAGAACACATATTTACCATCTAAATTATTAATTGTCAGAAAAAATCAACATTTCAATTTTCTCTAGAAATATATGTTATCAAAACTAGTATTAAAAGGCTTGTCAATACAGATGATTAAAAGTAAAAATAATATTAATTGTGTACATATAATTTTTTTTGTAGTGCGAATTTCAAAAATGAAACTTTTGAAGCAGACATATATTTGCCTTTATTAAGAATTGAATCTAATTATGAAGTCAAAGGAAACCTATTATTATTTCCAATTGAAGGAAACGGCAAGTTTGTTGGGAATTTTAGTAAGTCAAACATTATATTACTTACATAGATAGGCATGTGGTGAGCTGTATTTCAGGGGGTGCCTACAATACTTTTGGGCTTTATCTTAACAAATCGTGTAGGTATATTTAATGAATTATAATGTATAAATAATTGAATAAACATAAATTTAATATTGTGATATATTATTCCTAATAAATTCTATTTTGAATATTTTAAATATATTTTTCAAATAGCTTCAATTATTTGATTTGTAGGTAAATTGGTAGTCAATTATAGTTGTTATATTATCATAGAAAGTTTTTGTACAAACATTTTGTAATTTTATTTAAATTCTATATGATAAAGATCTATGTTCGCTGATAAGCATTTGGTTTAATTATAATGTTGATATTTAATATACAATAGAACTACAATTAAAGTAGAGTAAACTTTCGTTTACTTAATATTGTTTAAGAACCGGATGCTAATAATTATTCCCTCTTTTATAGCTGATGCTCAAACAAACATAAAATTCGAAATGAAAGTTGTTCGAAAAAATAACAAAAAAGCTTTTATAGAGGTTAATAAAAATAAAGTAAGTTTCAGAATTGGTACAGCTAAATTACATTTTAGTAATTTATTTGATGGGAATAAAGAATTAAGTAAGTATTTTAAACCATAATTCATTTGTACATCATCAAACTATTACTTTTTATATTAGGTGACGATACCAACCGATTCATAAATGAAAAATGGAAGGAACTTTTAGAAGATATAAAACCTTTACTCGAAGATACATTAAGTGGTATTGTCATGGGAATTTTCAAGCCTGTACTTGAAACTTATAGTGCGGACGATTTGTTTCCAATTTAGACCGTTCATAGAGCGTTTTTTTTTTTAGTTATTACATATTATTAAGAAACGGATTTAAATGTTTTAAAAAGCAAAAAAATACCTTAAATAAATATGATTTAATACCCTGATAATACAGTTTTTTTTAAATATACAACAAAAAGTGCTGTTAAAATAATTTTTAACATTGAAAAAAATTGTTTTGTTATATACATTTTTATTTTTATTAATTATACGTATAATTTTATTATTACAGTATATTTACCTTGAAAATTATTTCCAAAAATTATGAAATTATTATTATATTTTTACTATTGGAATACAGTCCTAAACTTAAACTAAAAGAATCATATGGATATTTTAAATGTATGATATTATTAAATTTACTAAATTATAATTATGTTATATTATTATATTGTATTATTTTATTAGCCTATAAAGTTTAAAGTATAAAGTTATTACTAAATATTACACTGAACTATATATTTTTGATAGACTTGATTAATAATTATTTTGATTAAAATTAAAAACTATATATATATGTCCATAGATATAATTCAATATTTTAATTAATTAATAAATGGGTTTTATTTTGTACCTTGAGTTGATTGATTTTTTGTTTTATTTTACTTCGTTAAAAACATTATAGCCAAGCAATTAAGTAAACAAAAATAGTACTAATAAAATAAATGTATAAAGGAAATTAAAATTAATTAAATTAAGAAGTCAACTGAATAAATAAAATTAATAGTTGAATGGATTATAGGAATGGAGCGAGAGTTTAGCAGGTTGGCGTCGGGAGTTATATAACCAAAGTAAATGGGAATGAAAAAAAAAGAAATATCGGCTAGGAAGAAGAGAAGAACAATGAAAAATTATATGGTTCAAGTCCCAGACAGTGCAAACATGATGTCGAGTACAAAAAGCAGATGAGTTAAAAGTGAGCTTAAAGGCATGGTGAGAAAGAAGACTGTGGCCTATTCGAAAGTTAAATGAAAGCGACCATCAGTTTTCTATAAATTCCCAAATCGTTGAACCATAAACGCCGAGAGAAGGTGGGAGTGACCTGTCTATGCCAAGTGCCATAATTAAGTGAAAGAAAGGACAATTTTGCTTGTCAATTGTTTCGAATGAGATTGCAGTGGATAAAGAAATCGGTAACCAGGAGGAAAAATGATTAATATATTTTGTTGATTAAGCTAGATGGTCTGCAAGTCCATTACCAGCTATTCCCATATGACTGGAGATTCAGAAAAATTGAGAGTTGAGTGGTATAAAGTAGCGTTTTTTTTTAACCTTTTTAACATCACGACCCCCAAAATAAGTGAAAAAGAAAGTGAGTCAACTCACAACCCCTTCCTTTCTTACAAACTAATTTAAGCTTTTAGCTAACTTATCAATTCCAAATATATTCTATTTACCATTAGCGAAAAAAAAACACGAGTTTTTAAATTGTGAGGTGAATTTCAATTTTTTTTTTTATCATAATCTAGGGTTGGGCATGATATCCGAAGATCTGAATTATTCGAATATCCGAATATTAGAATCCGGATTTGAATCAAATTCAAATCCGGATTTACCAAAATACCAAATTATCCAGATTTAAGAATTTAATTTTTATATACCTTACAATTATTTTTAATGTTTAGTAAAATAAATTATTTTATTTTATTGTAACAAGAAATTAGTATTATATTTTATGAACCAGTATACATATCATGATTTCAACAATGTTTATAATGTATTATTAGTTACCAAAATAAAGATTTATTAAATTGTTGAATTTATTTTATACCTCTATGACTTAGTGATAACATGACTGAATACCCAACAAACTTATTTTAACTACCTACATAACCTTTGAATGGTTATTGAATAAGCTTTTCTGAAGATTAGTTAAAATTATATTATAATACAATATAGCAATGACACATTAATAATTGTTATTAATTTATTAATACGGACAAGTTTTCTTACAATTATCAAATAAAAATTTGAGTCATCGAACAGCAAAATTGAATTGAATAAGCTGGATAATTCTTTAAATCCGGATATGCCCATCACTACGTAATACCTAATTTACAGTGTATTTTTCTAGATAAGGAATCTTTAATACTCTAAGCTTACTTGAGTGATATATTTTTATATATAAATTACTTGAATATAAATTTATAAGGCTATGAAAGTAATGGTAGACAAAATTGATGATTTTATCAAAAACTTAGGTACCTTCTGGATCATTCGTCTCGTAAAACGAAATTTTTATACATTCTATTGAACTACAAATTACACTGATGAAAATGTAAACCCAAAAAATCCTATTCATGATCGTGGTTTGAATAAAATAAAAATACATTTGAGAGAATAGAAAATTCAGTTACTGAAATTATTTCTCAAATGACAACGATAACATCTCCAATAGATAAGTTCTTAATCCTTTGATGAAAAGGCCGACATTGAATTGAGTCCCATAAATACTTTTGGGTTATCGTAGTTGAGTCCGACCAATATTGTTAGGTTGTTCGAGTTGAGTCCTTTCAGCCTATTAGGGTTACCTAGAGACACCACGAGGAGGTTGGCTGAGTAGTCTCCCAAAAATGTGTGTGATTGCTTACATTGTTTTTAATAATAATTATTATTATTTGTAATATAATAATGTTAATAATTATATAGTGGCTGGTAAATATTTAAAAGATAGGTACAGATTTAAAAAAGTCAAATCTGCAAATTTGCTTATTTATAAATTTGTTTGTTTGTTACCGTGAAAATTTTTCTTTTTCTAATGTTTTTTTACATGATCTCTTTTCTTTACTTCTTAATTTTATATATATATATCGGTCTGTATTCTCAGAAGTGTATCCACAAGAATAAAAATATTTGGATACCCCGAATGAAAAAAAAACATTTAATTTTGAGTGAAAACTTTCACAACTATTAGTGGTCCTGGTTGTTCTGAAAATCACTTCAAACATTGTGGGGAAACGGTGCAACATCATTGTCAACGTAATTATTTAAAATATAATTTGTACATTTTGAGTCTCATCTGTACTTTAGGGTCATTTTGCATTATGCAATGAACAAGCATCGTGAATGTTATGTTTAGTTAAAATAACGTTGTTTGTTGTGAGAGTTGAAATGTCATCATTTTTAAATTCATTATGTAAAATTTTCGATTGTTGGGCAGAAATATCATCCTCAGTTTTCCTTTTAATAGCATTTCTGGTTTTCTGTCTAGTAAGTACTTTTCCATCATACTGTGTTCATTATAAATTTCTAACAAAACATTATTAGAGCTTAATTTAAAAAAAAGACACGAGTTTTTCCAACATGTCCACCATTGAACCTCGCCTTGCAATATTTTATGAAATCTAAACTTAAAACTTTTAATATATCTTATTTCTTTTTGTTTTTCACTAAATATACACTCCATTTTTCACTCGTAATAATTTGACGTAAGTATTAACTATAAATGTGTGTTTACGAAATATTCGGCGCGACTGATTGATTTTGAACGAGTATATACCATTTGTTGACGAATATTCGTTATCATTTTGTATCCGGTATTACGGTATAATATGATGTGCAAGGTTTAAGGTTACCACCGGTAAGTAGGTAGTTATGACATTTTATTTATACGGATTCAATTCAAAGATATTTAGATATTAAGTTGGACTCAATTCAAAAACATAAAAGTAGCATGGACTAAATTCAAAATCAACGGATGAAAACATAGTTACAGATGCTAAATTACCAAATTACTTGTTAAGATTTACAACCAACCCTTAGAATTATCAGTTGATAAAACATTACAACTAAAATTTTCATCTCGAGATTTAAATATGTTTTGCTTCTCTAGACGAAATTAATGCAGAAGTCTAATAACAAAGGCATTACAAACATTGCTTCTATACGCCACTTCTTATCTGCGCGCAACAGGCTAGTAATCCATGGTGACATTAAAAACTAAATACATAATTATTTTATTATCATTAAAAATAATTTACTTTTGTGTTTCCAATGTCGAACCATGATTAAAAAAACTTTTTTAATACAAAACAATCATAAACCGGCCCTTGCACAAGGGGGGGGGGGGTTCTAACTCTCCCTCCCATTGAGGGACGATATTTTTACATACGAGTACATTATTACTAAGAATATACCTATTTCACAAGCTTAACTGACTTGAAAATTCATATATAGTATCAGTGGCGTAATTTTGGGGGAGCAAGTGCCCCCTCTAACAATTTTTTGAGAGATATAATTAGGTATAATTTTGCCTCCCTAGATAATCCAACGGTACAAATAGCACTTTTTATTAATGAACTCTTATGGGTATTATTTAACAATATTGGTACCTAGTACCTGCTACCTACAATTTATGTTTATCTAAACCATAAAATGAGTTAAAAGACTGATGTAAAATTAATCAATTAAATATAATGTATAAATTTATTTATTTAAACTGGTGAGGGAGAGGGGTGTTAGGGTTTTGGTAATAATAAATATATTATAATGCCCCCTAGATTTTTTTCTCAGTTACGCCACTGCATAGTATATAACATATTACATACTATTCATGTTCTAACCATGTTAATTTTCTCGATTAACACCTTTTTTTATCGAATTTTCGTACATTTTCCTCTTGTCAATTATCGTTGTAAATGCAGTCATCGATAGAACGTATTCTCGCTGACTAATCAGTTGTTCAAGCTATTCAGAAATTTATTGATTTTCGATCCTAATACTTTTGATCATGGATATTCCAAGGAGTATTTTTTATTGACTTCTTATCTAACATATTATACATAATTTTGACCCTCCCCTCCTTGTACTATTACTGCGTACGAGCCTGATCACAAATATCCCATTAATTAATATTTTTTAATTTAATATTTAAAGTTAATAGTGTATTTGTACTATAAACTAACTTTTTCATTTTTAGTATTATGATTATATATATTTTTTTATTTTAAATTTTAAATTTTAAAATAACAGTTATACTTGTTATTATTTATTTAATAAATTATATAATACATTTTAAAATCAATACTTTCATAAATACGTATTTGTATGTTGAATAGTTTCTTTTAA